TACCCATGCAACCAGCTTCCAAACCGCTAGGCCTTGCCTGCTGTGTTCCTTTCATCTTCCAGTCGTATACGATATTACATTATTGAATTAAATTGGATATTCCCTCCACCATTGCAGCAGAAATCTAATAGTTTGTAACTGACTAATTTGAGTTGTCTGAGGGTCAGAGAGGTTAAGGTGAACAGCATTTAGTACGGTACCTGGCACATAGTAGGTGCTTAATTAATGTAATTGACTATTTGACCCTGATATAATGTAGTATAGATAGTGTCAGAGGTGTGAGATGAACCCCATTCTGTCAGATTCTAAGTTCAGCTCTCTATCCACTGTATCACACTGCCTGTTAGCAATCTGCTCGCCTGATTTAGGGAGGAGGAGAAGAGCGGAGTTATTCTTGAACGATCCATTTTTGATGCAGGCAGGCTGGTTCACCGTTTCCCTAAATGTTCATTAATCGTATCTTTAATAATATGTTCCAGTGTTCCCATTTGTTAACGTGTTAAGTTGATGATAAGAAAATTTAATTAAAAAAAATTCTAGAATTTTCCCAGAAATCAGTCAAACTTTCCTCTTTATAATTTGTAGACTTCATTCTCCACTTACTTTTGAAAATTGGAACATTTGCCATTCTTGAGTCTTAGAATAATTCTCCCACTCAGCATCATCTTTCAAGTATTTCTCTGTTTTGTTGTGAGCAATCAATGATACAGTTTACAAAAGTACTCTTTAAGCCATTAAGATGTTGTACAGATGAGTGGTATGGAAATGGAAGCTAATGTCATCAAAAAAGCTTCATAAAAGATGGACGTGGACAGGGAAACATGGAAAAATGTACCTTCAGATCTATGGGCAAGGGGAGACTTTATGACTAAACAAGAGATGGAGGAGATTGTGGGAAGTAAAATAGGTAATTTTGATTACATGAAATTTAAAAGTTTTTATACAAACAAAACTAATGCAGCCAAAAGTCAGAAGGACTTTTGCAACAAGTTTCTCTGATGTAGGCCTCATTTCTCAACTATATAGGAAACTGAGACAAATTTATAAAAATAAGAGCCATTCCCCAATTAAGAAATGGTCAAAGGATATGAACAGGCAGTTCTCAGAAGAAGAAATCAAAACTATCCATAGTCACATTAAAAAAAGTGCTCTAAATCACTGCTAATTAGAGAAATGTAAATTAAAACAACTCTTGAGATACTATCTCATACTTCTCAACTTGGCTAATTTGACAGAAAAGGAAGATGATAAATTTTGGAGGGGATGTGGAAAATTGGTACATTAATGCATAGTTGGTGGAGTTGTGAATTGATTCAACCATTCTGGAGAGGAATTTGGAACTATGCTCAAAGAACTATCAAACTTTGCATACCCTTTGATCTAGCAACATCACTACTATGTCTGTATCTCAAAGAGATCAGAAAGGGGGGAAGAGGACCTATTTGTACAAAAATACTTATAGCAGTTCTTTTAGTGGTGGCAGTTGAGGGAATTGAGGGAATTTAGTGGTGGAAATTGAGGGGATGCTTATCAATTGGGGAATGGCTAAACAAGTGATAAATGAATGCAATGGAATATTATTGTGCTGTAAGAAATGATGAGCAGGATGATTTCAGGAAAACCTGGACTTACATGAACGGATGCAAAGCGAAGTGAGCAGAACCATGAGAACATTGTACACAGTAACAACAGTATTGTATGATATCAACTATGAATGACTTAGCTATTCTCAGCAGTTCAGTGATCCAAGACAATTCCAAAGGACTCATGATGAAAAATGCTGTCGGCTTCCTGAGAGAGATCTGATGAGCTCTGAATATAGATAGAAGCATACTTTTCTCTACTTCCTTTATTTTTATTGTTTTATTTTGTGTTTTCTTTTGTGACATGACTAATATGGAAATCTGTTTGGCATTACTTCACATGTATAAATGAAATCAAAGTTCTTGCCTTCTCAAGGAGGAGGAAGGGATGAGATGGTAGGAAAAAATTCGGAACTCAAAAGAATTTTTAATGGTTGTCAAAATTTTTTTACATGTAATTGGGAAATTATTAACAAAACAAAAAAGATTAAACATTTAAAAATAAGTTAAAGATAGAAAAGTATGACTTAACAGATTTCATGTCTGGTGTGCATATCAATTCATTATTAGCAGTCCTTGTAACATAAAAGTGGGAGGGGGTAGGAATTTGGAAAGGAGTGGAAAGAAAATAGCCTTTCACAGCTAAAATCTTGAAACACTTAATTCAGGATCTGATAAGAGTCAGAGTGGTTGGAAAATCCTTCCTGGTGGAGTTTTGCCATGGGCATTCTAATCCCTTCCTTATTCTCCATCCTCTTTACATTTTGAGAATCAAGTCTATTACTCCTCACCCCACCCCTTTTCAGAGTCAATTTGTAGGGTAACATACATAGCGCCAAAAATTCATCCTGATAAAACTAAATTAACAGTTGTATTTTTATCCTTGTTGAGTTTAGAGACTCTTGGGGAGAGGAAATCATGCAACTTCTTGCTGGGTTAAGGACCCAAATGTTGTTTGGAGTCCATCAATCCATCAGTATCTGGATTCTGAAGAAATTCTTCATTTACAAAAGGAATTAGATTATGAAAAAGGATATGGAATGTTTGTTCTGCCATGCCATTCATATGAAATCTAAGATGCATTGCAGGCCCAAGAAATGTTTTTTATCTGTATTAGTTTCAATTTTTTCCTGCCACTACATAGAATGTATTTTAATCAAAATCATGGTAATGCCACTCTGACAGTGGTTATGGACCCCATCAATTGAACTCATTTGTCACGTTCAATTCAAAGGAGTTCTGGACTGGGGTCATCACTAAAAACAATTAACCTTTTTATAGCTTTTCAGGTTTTACAAAACACTTTGCTCACAATAACCCCACAAGGCAATGAGTACAAGTATTATTATGCCCATTTTATGTGTCAGGAAACTAAATCTTACAGAAGTAAAGTAACTTTACCCATGGTCATACAGCCAGCAAGTATATGGACCCAGGGCTCTTGATTCCAAGTGAATACTCTTTCCACTATACCTAGCCACTTCTGGTAACTTGAAAATTACCTTACTCCTTATTTATCAGGAAGTATTTGAGGCAACCATGAGGGATTCTTATACTCCACTTTGCATCTGCCTGGTTTCAACTCCATGGAACAAGGTGCCCCTCCCAGAATAAGTTCTTCTCCCTAAAACTCACCATCATGCTGTTGATTCAGACCCTGATTGATGCCACTTCACTCAGCCTCCTCTCCCCTCTAATTGAAGAACTAGAGTGTATAGAACCAACTTCCTCCCAATGGATCCCTTTATAGAGGACAAATACTGCGCTCTCAGATCTGTTGTTTGTCTGGTTTCAACTTCATGGAACAGAGTGTTTCTGCAAGGTACCCTTGGTGTCCCCTCCCCTTCCTGCTTCCTTTTGTGTGTTGTTTCCACCCCATTAGATTGTAAGCTCTTTGAGGGCAGGGACTGTCTTTTTATTTATTGTATACCCAGAACTTAGCACAGGGCCTGGAACTTAGTGGGTATTTAATAAATGTAAATTACATTGGACTAAAAGGAATAATAGGTCTGTGACATTATTTTAAAGAGGGGCTTTGTGCTCAGGTGTAGGGCCCTCTGAAGTTCCTTCCAAATGTGAGATTTCCCTGATTCTGTAAAGTGTCTTGGCCTCCTGACACCATCTTGCTTGGCATGTTATATGTCAAAGAATGAAAGCTTTCAAAGAAAGAATTTTGCTTTTCTGTTCAGAATAGTCAATTATTTCTTTCAAACTGGAATTGCTTTCTTTTCACTAGGGCATGAAATTAAGGAAGTATTCTGAATGGCTAGGGAGCATAGTGCTTCTCTGAATGCCAGTCAGAATACCTGATTACTGTTCTTCAAACAGCAGAAATATGATCCAATCTGAGAAGTTAGGAAGGGGCTCTTAAGCAGCAGATGAGTCTTGACCTTTCTGGTGTGGGATAATTCCTCCGTTTAGACTGCTTCCTGAGAACTGAAAATAGTGGTTCATGTGTCTTTAGACACATATATTTTCCTTGGTTGAATTGATTCTAATAAGAGGAGTATCAAGGCTACTGGAGTTGTTATCATAAGTATCTACTCACCAAAAATAGCTGGAATAAAATCAAAGGAATTTTTAAGAATCTGCTTAGTTGTAAAGTAGTGGGGTTTTTCCTCCAATCTTGTTTCATCCTTGATATATCCATGATTTGGGGATGATGAAAATAGTGTATTCCTGTGTACTCCAAGTACCATCTACCAGGCTATTCATTTTCCAACCATCCCTCGCCTCCCACATATGCATAAATATACAGTATTCTCTCTATAATGTGGTCACCACTACCCCATACCAGGCTATCCCAACATATTGAAGATGTCTTCATGAAGCAAAAAAAGCATTCCATTGAACTAGTTTTCAAGGATTAAGAGTAACAATGAGAGGTTAAATTTACGTGGTGCAAAGAATGCTTTCCTATCCATTATTTCATTTGATTCTTATAACTACTATAGGGAAATAGGGTGGGAAAGACCTATTTTAAAACTGAGAAACTGAGGCATAGGGAGATGAAATAACCTACCTAAAGTTATCTAGATACTAAATATTAGAAACAAGAATTAAACCTTGACTCCACAATGAATTCTTTCTCCTACGTTTTGCCACCTCTATCTCTTATTAGCTAATACTTACCATCTAACAAATAATTAACCATTTTATACTATTGGGTAAAGTCACAGAATATCCCTAGGTCTCAGTTTTGTTATCTATAAAGTGAAGGAATTAAATTAAAATATGTTTAAGATCCCTCTGGCATTATAGTTCTAGGATTTCTTGAAGAAGAGAGGAAGGGTTATATTATTAAAGAAGCTGGTCTTTCTCCTTTTTAAAAGAAATGTGGATGTAATAGTCCTGGATGTAAATTGATTGCATAGCCCTTGGGTAATGAAGGTTTCTTTCCATTCTTTTTCTTCACAGTGTAAACCTCCTCTGGAAGTGAAAGATTTATTCATTGATATACAAGATGGAAAGATCCTGATGGCATTGTTAGAAGTTCTGTCAGGGCAAAGTCTGGTATGTATATCATGTGGGTGGGGGGGAGGGGCTGAAAACACACACAAAACTAGGTGTGTACCTTTGGACAAGTCACTTATCTTCTCTGGTCCTCTGATTTCATTATCCATAAAATGATATACTTAAAACACTACTGAACTCATAAAATGGTCGGAAGAAAGCACCTTGTAAACTAATGTGCAATATAAATGCAACGTTATTATTATTAAATTATGTAGCTGGTTTTTGCATCCCTGGTATTATGCATAAATATACATAAAAATAAACTTGGACATAGGTTTTATAATCACAATGTATTCTTTTCAATTATGATTAGATCTGATTTATAGTAATAGAACATTTATAGAGAATTATTTATCCAAGTGAAGTTATGAAAGCTTAAAACTTAACTAAGACTTTTAGCACACCTGTATAATCCTTATGGTTCACAAATCATTTTCATCAGACAGCTTTGTGAAATAGGTAAAGTATTTTTATTCCTATTTTAAAGTTGAGTAAACTGAGTCTGAGAGAGATAAAATGGCATTGCCCAAGGAAAAATACAAGTAGTGTCAAGTCATAACTTAGGCCCAGGTCTATGTCACTAAGTCTGGTATGCTTTCCACCACAACATGTGACTTCTTTAATAAATATTTAATATGTTCCAAGTAAATAGTCTTTTTTTTTAAAGGAGACTATTTTATACAAGATATATACCTAGTATTTTGTGTTTCTGTAATCGTTAAATTTTGGGACTCACTAATACCTACTTTGAAGAACAAATGTTAATATTAACTAAAATAAGGGTAAAGAATCAAACTAAAAAAAGATCATACCTAGATTTCAGCTGTAAAATATTAGCATTAACCCACTGGCAGATGTGTGTGGTTTCAACTGGCAGTATATAAAATTACTGATTTCTCAATAATGACCTTTAAGACTTAGAGTAAATCATATATGTTTCCTCCCCAACTATAAAACGAGAGGGTTTGGCTAGATCAGCTCCTTTGCATCTAGAATATTCAATCATGTGCCCCACACATATGTTGTTAATCAATGTAAAAATTATTCTAAGCTGGAGTGCTGTACAAATACAAGCTCCCTACTGGCCGTGGCCTAAGGACCTTTTATCTAGAACAGTCAGGTACCTTGCCTGGTGTCACAAAGCTTTTCTGTTTTTGGAGCCAGAATTTGAATTCAGGTCTTTTGACTCGAAGACTTTCCATTTTTAACATTGGGCTTGATTCAATGACACAAGGTGTTTATCATGAAGATTTTAAATCAGATAAGATATTTGTACCACTCCCACCCTTACTGAAACTATGTGCATACAGTTCTGTCTACATTTTTACTACTCTGACAGAGTCCATTACAATCAATGCAATCTTTCAAAATCTAATTAAACCTACAACTGAAAACTTAGACTTTGAGTCGGTAGCCCATACTTAGTTCTAATGTAGAAGCTCTGGTTGAACTTTAACCCTGCCCTACCATTATTCTCACATTAGTAAAATGAAAATCCTCTCTTCCCTCATTTTGGTAGGCCTAAATAAAAATGAATGAGATTAGACCTTGCAAGGGCTCTAGATTCTTCCATCTTGAATAATCCTTTGGTAAGAGGAGAGGGATGTTTAATGCTGGATTTAGTCAATCAGCAATCATATATTAAGTACGTGCTATGTGCCAGGCACTGTTCTAGATGCTGAGGATACAGAGACAAAATCTAAACAGTTCCTGCACTCAAAGAGTTCACATTCTAATGGGGAATAAAACACGTATTTCTACAGTTACATACAAAACAAGTTAACCGTGGAGGAGGAAGGCACTAGCAGCTGGGGGTGGTCAATGGGGAGGCAATCAGGGAAGGCCTCGTGCAGCATGTGGTATTTGTACTGAAACTTGAAAGGAACCTGGTATTCCAAGACATTGAAGTGATGGGGAGTATTCTATGCATGAGGCACAGTCACTGCATAGAACCTGGAGACAAGAGATGGAGTGTTTTATGTGAGGGACAGCAAAAAGGCCAGTATAGTCGGACTGAAAAGTCCATGGAGGGCAGGATGTTTAATAAGGTTAGAAAGGAGGATAAGGCTAGGTTATAAAGAACTTTAAATAACATACTGAGGAGTTTGATTCCAGAGGTTATAAAGAGCCCCCAAAGTTTATTCAGAAGTCATTGGTGTGATCAAAACTATGCATTAAAAAAATCATTTTGACAGCTGTTTGGAGAATGTATTGGAATGGGTAGAGGATAGAGATTGACCAAATTAAGAGGCTCTTACTATAGTCTTGACAAGAGGCAATGAGAGTCCAGATGAGGGTGATGGCTGTGTGGGTGGAGACAAGGGGACAGATGCAAGAGATCTTTTGTAAATAGAAATAAATAGATTTGGCAACTGATTGGTTATGTAGGGTAAGAAAGACTGAGATGAGGATGACACTAAATTTGTGATACTTAGGAAATGGAAGGGTGGTATACTTGACAAGCAAAAAGGTGTTGGAAAGAAGAGTGGATTTAAAGAAAAATATAGTGAGTTCTGTTTTGGAAGTGTTTGTCCTAAGATGCCTAAGGGACATCAGTTTGAAATGTCCACTAGGCTCTTGGCAATACTCAACTAGAGGTCAAGAGAGCTACTAAGGCAGGACATATGTATCTGGGAGTCATTTGCAAAGAGATGATATTTGAGACCATGGAAGCTGATGAGGTAGCCAAGTGGGAGAATTAGAGAAAAAAGAAAAAAGGGATAAAGACAAAACTTTGAGGTATATCCACAATTAGTAGGTATTGCATGGCTAATTATCTAGCAAAGAAGAATGTGAAGAAGCAGTCAGGCATGTAGGAAGAGAACCAGAAGAGCAGTGGCAAAAAAAATCCAGAGAAGAGAGAATATTCAGGAGGAGATAGTGATTTACAAGTGTCAGATGCTGCAGAGAAGTCGAAAAGGATGAGAACTGAGAAGCCTTTAGATTTGTTGTTTAAGAGGTCACTGATGATTTTGTAGACAGTAGTTTCAGTTAAGTGATGAGATCAAAAGTCAGATTGCTGAGGGTTTAGAGTGAAAGGAGAGGCTGGAGAGGCAATAAATACAATAAATATAGACAGTTTTTTTCACAGCATTTGGCCGAAAATTAGAAGTGATATAACAAGATAGCAGAAATGGTAAAAGCTATAGAAGTTTTTGGTTTGGTTTGGTTTGGTTTTTCAGAATCAAAGATACTTAGGCAACTTTTGGCAAAAGAGAAAGAACAAGTAGATAGGGAGAGCTTGAAAATTAGACATCAGGGATGATAGTGGCAGTGATCTTCTGGAGAAGATGGGGTCAAAGGTACTTACAGAGATGTTGATTGCCCCTTTCTCATTGGGAACAGAAAGAGATGGTAGGGAATCACATTATTCTCCTAAAAAATGGGAATCTTGTTGCAAGAAACATATTTGTTTACCATCGCTATCCTCATAAGATTATTGATGTAGAACTGGAAGGGATCTTAGAGATTATTTAATCCAACCCCCTTTTTTATAGATGAGGAAACTGAAGCTGAGGAAGGTTAAGTGACTGCCCAAGATCACCCAGAGAGTATTGGGAGTGGAATTTGAACCCAGGTCCTTTGGTTCAAGGGCCTGAGTTCTTTTTCTGCTGTAAAATACTGCTTCTTTTAGCTTCTTTTGACTTCTTTTAGCACCATCCAAATAGCTGCTCCTGGAAATAAAACACACTGAAAAAACAGGTTTCATTAACTGCCTACTAATATTCTCACTGTGATTTGAGTCCATGTCTCCATAACTTGGTTATCAGTTAAAGAACAGCATCATAAGGACCTGGAGCTGTAATGCGTATCTAGTCCAATGCCCTCATTTGTATAGATTAAACTAGTGAAAAGAAGGGAAGTCACCGCATAGTAAATAATAGTTTATATTCACATTATTCAGTCCACAAATCCAGGACTATATCGCTTTTCTACCATACAAGTTTTGGTATGAATTTTACCCACCTCAAACACTTACTACCTGTGTGAACCTGGGCAAGTTGTTTGATCTCTTAATCTCTATTTCTTCATCTATAAATTGGGGGTTATAAAAGCGCTTCCCTCATTAGTTTATTTTGAGGGTCAAATGAGATAATACTCTTCACAAACCTTTAATAAAGGATTATATGAACATCAGCTCCTGATATTGTGAATCCAAGCATGATCTATAGTGATATGACAAGAAAAAAAATCTCTTCCAGTGAGATAATTGTCAACAACAAGATTACCACTCACAGCAAGTCCTCGTTATGGAAATAGTTAGAAGTAAAAAGATGATGAGACAACATCACGTCACAGCCATCCCTGGCCCAGGACTTAACCATTCGCACCAACCAGTAAGCGCCTGTATTATGCCCAGAATTATGTGGTGTGCTTTGGGAGACATAAAAAAGGGCCTCAGTTTCCACATCTGAAAAATAAGGTGACAGGGCTAGAGATAGTTGACCTTTAGGGTCCCTTCCAGCTTTGTGTTCTTTGATAAAGACCCCTTCCAATTCTGACATTCAATGTTTTTGGATTCTAAGTTCCCTCCAGCCCTGATATTCTGTAAATCTATTTTTCTAAAGCCTCTCTCAGCTCTAACATTCTAGATTCTGTCCTGCCCTCGATAAAAACAAATCTTGGACTCCCTCGCTGCCACTGATTCTTTAAATCTGTTATATAACTATTATACCTCTGTAATGCCAGGCTGCTAGAAAAGACTATGAAGAAGGTGTTTAATTAGTATATATCCTTGGTTACCATGGACTCATTTTCTTTAGGAAATTTGAATTCCATTCTTGGCTTTCTTATATAGTTGCTTCCAATATGTAAAATTAACATTTCCAGATATCAGTCAGCTCCTACAGGCACATTTTCTCCCTCCTCACGTAGCAGTATACAGATTTCTTGGCTCAAAAACAGGAATTTCCATTGCCATCAGGAAAGGACTTGTCTGATGATTTAGAAACTGCCTGGTAAGGCATATAGTTGATCATTCCTGTGCTGGCATAAGACATCAATACAAGGAATAAAAAAAAAACCCTTATAAATGGTTCTTAGCAGATGTGAGAGATGTTAATAAGCCAGAAGCAATGTGAACTAAAAATCTGCAACCATTTTTTTCCTTAACTCATTTTTCTTTCACTTGTGATCAACTGAACAGACCCTATAAGCTATTCATCGTTACTCTGATTTTTGACCTTAATCACTGAGACCACTTTATTCTGGAACATAGATACTCTCTTTTGCGTGGTGTAGTGGAAAGAATTCTGGCCTGGAAGTGACAATTCCTGGGTTGGGTTTTAGTCCTGGCTTCGTTGCTAATTCCCTCTGGGCAAATTACTTAATCTCTCGGAGTTTAGTTTCCTTGCCTGTAAAATAAGGGTGTTGGATTAAATAATCTTGGTAGTTCCATCTAGGTTCTAATTGTCTGTGATTATTTACAGTTCAAATCAGTACATATGAGCTCCAAATCTTCACTTTAAACCAAAGTGAAACAATTTTTTAAAAGCTTCACCACTTTAAATAAACTATGTTTTGTTTTATAGCTGCATGAATATAAATCCTCATCCCATCGTATTTTTCGGTTGAACAACATAGCAAAAGCACTTAAGTTTTTGGAGGATAGCAATGTAAGTATTTGTTGTGTGTGGTGTTGGTCTCTGTTTATGCAATTTCAAAAGGAAGGAACTGTCTTTTACAACTTTTATATAACTCCATGAAGAGGGTATGACAGGAATCTGCTGTAATAACCGTGCTTCAGGCTTTGAATGTTTAAAAGTCAACTAAAATCAATGGCAGAATCTCGTTGGTTTGGGGAATATTTCCTGAACTTTCCACATACGTACAAATAAGAACTCTCCCTTTCAAACCTAACACTTTATAATTCAGTCATTTTTTTCTTCATTGTCAAGTCTCCCCCTCAAATTACTTGCCATTTACAATTGTCATCTTACTTACTTTTTTTTAATGGAAAATATTATCCCAATGACAGACTGTCTGGTTTCCAAGGAACAACCTAGTTAAATACCAAAAGGCTCATCACAATTAAGCTGACAACCAGCTTGTGAATTCTTTGACAATAACAACCTATGAAAGAAAGAAAAATTCAAAATAAGTACTGTGTGGTCCCTTTACCCTTCTGCAGTGATTGTGGCAAAAACTCATGTTTTGTGGCACTAAAGAATTAGAAACAAAGTTTGTACCCATCAGTTAGGAAATGGCTGAACAGATGATGGCATGTAAATGAAATGGAATATTATAGTGCAGTAATAAATTGTTGACATAAAAAAATTTAGAGAAATTTAGGAAGACTTTTATGAATTGATATTTAGACAGAGCCAGAAGAGCAATTTATACATTGACCATAATAATGTAACGGAAAACAATACTGAAGGACAACAGGACTCCGATTAATATGTTGACCAGTTGGGACTTCAGAATGTTGGCAGACCCTGCCTTCTTTCTTTCTGCAGAGATATTGGCGTTAGATGCTGAATGAGACACGTTTTGTCAGACATAACCAGTGACCAAAGGATTGAATTATTTTGCTAATCTGAACTACTTTTGTTATAAGGGCATGTGTGGGGTGGAGGAGGTAGTCATCAGAAAATGACAGTAATTTTAAAAAGAACTTCAATGAACATTACTTTTTAAAAGTATTCATGATACACAGGTGTGAGTTGTATATAGTTTACAAAATTTTGTGTTTCTTTCATTTCTGCATACTGAGTCAATTTCCCCAATATATATTTTGTCATCATCTCTCATCACTTTTGCATTGAAGTCACCAAAATATTAAAATGTGTATTTAAGTTCTTTATAGAATTGTTCTGCTTCCTCATCCTCTGCATAAATGGCAATTATCATTATTATTATTATTACTACTATTAAACAGCTGAGTCTTTATTTGGAAATAAACAAAGAGGAGAGAGGTGAGAAGATAGGTCAGATGAAATCAAAGCAACCAGTTGAATGTGGTAGCCAGTGGAGTTTTGAGGGTAGGATCAGTTACCTTGGAAGAGGCATGTTAAATAAAATAGTTAATAAAAGACATTTGTATGGTGCTTTAACATTTGCAAAAAATTTTACCCATGTTATTATATTTGGTCACAAAGGATAACAGTGAAATAGGTAGGTATGATGAGTATGACCCTTTCTTTTACCTCATCAGGGGTATTGAAAGGACCAAATAGAATAATATATAACATATTTTGTAACTGTCAAGCACAGTTTGCCTCCACATAATTGCAATAGATTCTTATAAAATTATACAACTTTTTTGGACTATTTGTTATTTCTGAATTATCCTTCACCTTGTCACCTCTGTATGAATGCCCTATATACCCACATGTACATAGAAAACCCCATTTAATTTAATCACGATTCTATATATAATCTAATTCAGTAAACATTTAAGTGTCTACAACCCACAAATTTAGTAGAATGCTGGCTCCCCAAAGGCCAGGAGTCTCCCACTTTTCTATTTTTATTCCAGTTTACTGAATCTATTATGTAACAGACAATAAATGTTTTTTGATTGACTGGTTCTCCTCTTTAAGCTCCAGTTGCTTCTTCAGGAAATTGGGGATAATAATAATATTTATACTCATGACCTCCCAGAACTGTTGTGAGGAATGTGTTGGTAAATTGTAAGATGCTATAGAAATGGGAGGTACAGCATGGTGAGGATGCGGGAAAAGAGATTTAGAGTCAGAGGAGTCTCTAAAGCAGAAAACTCATTTAGAGTCAGCTCTGTCACTCAGTACTTCTGTGACCTTGGGTATCACTTTAGCACTGTCAGCCTCAGTTTCCTCATCTGTAAAATGAGAAGAATGGATAAGAGGTCTCAGTTCTAAATCTTTGATCCCATGAAGCACTTTTGGGTGTATCATAGAGGAGGTTCTTAAGTTCAGGTATGGATTGAATCAACTAGATGGTCTATGAAGTCTAATTTTGAAATTTTGTGATTCTGGCCCCCAATCGCCAACTGAATTTATTTGGTCTGAAATTTCAACTCAATTCCATAGACATTTACTCGAGCATCTAATTTGCACTAGATACTGAATTTGGAAGTATACTTTGAAATTTATTTTTCTTCTCTTTTTTTATCATTACCTTCTCTACTTTTTAAAGTAAACTTTTTAATGGCAAGAAATGCCTTTTTTCATCTTCATATCCCCTAAAACCTAAAGCAGGACCCTGCACATAGTAGGTGCTTAGTAAGTGTTTGTTGAATTGAATTGTTTCCAGTGTGCTTTGGTGGCCTAGTGATTAACCAGAAAGGCTATTGAATTATACTTTGGAAGGATGGAGAAATGTTAAGGCAATTATTTTATATTCAGTTTAACAATCTCGTGCCCAACAGAGAGTAAATGCTCAATAAATGCATTTTCATCCAGTTACTCATTCATGATCTGTGATGAGTAATAACGTATGAGTGCTATCTCTAATTGGAAATCAATATTTTGAGCAGATTACTAATGTCAGTGTTTTGAATAGTCATGGAATCAAAGAATTTGAGAGTTGAAAGGACTTCAGTGGTCCTCCGATCACTATACCAAAAGAAATCCCACTGTAACAAACCATAGAAATGGTCATCGAGTCTACACTTAAAGCCCTTCAAGGAGGGAAAATCTATTACTTCTCTAGGAAATCAGTTCTACTTTTGGACAGCATAGAGAAAGGGGGAGAGAGAAAGAAAGGAAAGGGGGAGGGGGAGGAGAGAGAGAGAGAGAAAGAGAGAGAGAGAGAAGGAAGAAAAGGAGGAGGAGGAGGAAGGGACAAGAATGTGTTCAATAAGAGATGATCTAGATAATTGAAGTTCCTCATGATTACTATATTATGTGGCTTTGTGCCAGGCTTGTGATCTATTTCCCAAACTCAGTGTTATACTTCAATGATAAAATCACTTCTCTATCTTTTTCCGTTGACCCATTACTTAGGCATTGACTCTCTATCATGCTTCTCCCCCTGGTGCCTCCTCATGTGAGTATATGATGCTATCCCATGACATCCACCTTTCAACTGTTATCTTTCTTTTGAATAAGATAGACCCACCTGGAACCATAGTCCAGTTACAGGTTTCATCTCACCCAGAACCGTAGACCAGTTATAGGTTTCATCTCACTGTGTATCAATAAATCAAATTTACCTCCCTGAATTACCATCTCTCATTCCTTTTGCTTGTAGACTAATCTTTGGACATTTCAGGTCATGGGTTTTCCTATTGGCTACTTTCTTGGATTTTATTTCCTGTAAACTTCTATCTGAACTAATTGATATTTTTCTTGCTTCACTGTAGTTGCTTTTTAGGGTATTTGGCTTGATAGATACATAGCCTTCCTTTCCCATCCTTTTTAATTTTGAAGTTCTTTTGATTAAATTTGTGAAATACCCAACAACTGTATTCTTACCAGCCTGTGTTATCTGGCCAAGAATCTGTTATACTTTACTTTAAGCTGTTGTCCAGAAATCCAAATCCCATTTTCACACATACCTTTCTAACTGTTTACTTCCAAATTTTTTTTTTCTCTTCTGCATCCTCTTCCTCCAGTGGGCAACAGTGAGGATAACATAACCTTTGCTCCTATGGTCTTCAGTTTCTTGTCTGAGACTTATAATCATTGGCAATATTTTTAAGCTTCATTCTGGCAGTATTCTTTGTACCCATGTGAATCCCAAAAGATGGCTAGTAGTCAAATGTTTTTCATGAATCTTGGAAGGTTCTTTGTTAGTTAAGCTTTAGATACATGCCCTGGGAAGACAACAGACCTCTCTTTGTGCTTGGATCAATGAACAGCTGCCTCAGTATCCCCAGAATAGGGAATCAACTGCTACTCTCTTCTTTTCTTCCTTTGGCCCTTTCTTATTCAGTGATCTTTCACCCGACTTTTGTAGTTCTTGAGTATTTGGAAGACAAACAAATACCTCTTCAGAGTATCCAGCCTCCTCCTCCTTTTCAGAAAGAGCTCCAGATCTATTTTTATGCTCTGTTTTATAGCTGTCTTTTCCCTTCCCTTTCTCCTGTGCATGACACTGTGTCCCTCTCCAATATCCTCATAAGGCTCATCTTCCCTCCTCACCCACAGAGCTATTTTTTCCCCTCTGAAGCCTTATTTCTGTTTCCGTTAGGAATACTTCATTGTCTCTAGCACACTGAACTATGGAGAGTCATTCTCTGATTCCCTTTATGCTCTCCTGAGGGAGATGAACCTGTTAGACCATAGATAGCTGTTATTCTGCTGTGACAGAAAAACAAACATCACGTACTCGTGGTGCTCCATAATTTTCTCTACTCCATACTGATTAAGATTTTCAGCCTTACTTTTGTTTTGTTTTGTTTTGTTTTTGAACTCCTTGTGAATGATCACTCCTCAGTCCTAAGCACCTGGTTAAAGCTTTTACAGCTAATTATTACCTTTTAATAACTTGACAACTCTGCTTAACTTCCTTTCCTGAGTTTCCACAAAGCCATTTCCCTGAGCCTTATGCCAACCTCTGATATATTTGACCTTGCTCCTCCTACCAGTTCACTCTCACCAATTTGCTTTGCCCTCCATTCTTTTCTAACTTTTTCTTGCTTACCTTGCTTCATTATGCCAACTACCTTCTTTTTTTTCTTGACTCTTCCTCGGTTTCTATTCCCTAATCATCCTTGATTGTCCTTAATTGTTTGACTCTTCTCTTTCTACATGGAAGCCTGGCCATTGTTCCAGGCCCAAATTTTCTTCAATTTCCACCCAGAATTCAACATTTTGCCTACCTTACTAGTCCAAATCTGTACAAATCACCCCCATCATTTCCTTCTTAATCCTTCTCTTTTTTCTCACTCCTGTACCAACCTTTTTCCCACAGAAGCCAAATATTAGATGTCAGTTAACATAATATTAAGTGATTAGGTGTTGATTGTGTTAATTTAGTGGTGGGTTTTTGTTTTCTTTTGTTTTGTTTTTAGAATGGAGGGCAGTATAGTATAGCAAATTGAGAGCCAGCCTGGAAGACAAGAAAATTTGGGTTCAAGGCCTACCTCTGACACATTCTAGCTTGTATGACATGGACAAATCACTCAGCCTCTCAGTTCCCTAGGCAGCTCTCTAAGCCTATGAATTACATACAAGGTACAGAGTTTCTTTACTTGGGAGTTCACTACACCAGTGAAATTTCAGGTGCAGTCCCTATCTCTTGGAGTACAGGGCACACCACCTCCCTTTAGTACTCATACGGCCTCCATGCAAGTTAAGCACTGAAGCCAATAAAGCATCAGTTTTGCATGTTGGGTGTCCCTGAGGATTCTTGTGTAGCATTGGACTGATTGGAAGAAGCACGTTCCACAGTTTCACAGCATCCAACACAATGTAATCAAAATTGGTGCCTCCTTTAATCTCATTATTCCCTTTCCTCTAGGTAAAACTGGTTAGCATTGATGCAGCTGAAATAGCAGATGGAAACTCTTCTTTGATTCTTGGATTGATATGGAATATAATCCTCTTTTTTCAGGTAAAATCATTTATTTTCATTAATTGGAGATTGTCAAAAAAAAGAAAAAACAAAATTTCATTTCTGACAGATTGTGAATTCTTTTATTTACTAACAAAGAATAACACAAATCTAGTTTATTTTCAAATGTGAGTTCAGGGAATATTTGCTGTGGAGAAAATACCATATGTGCTGTTGGAGATGAATATTCACAGAGGTCATAGGATCACAGATCACTGGTAATGAATGATAAAGAAAGGTTGAACTCTGATTGCCAGAACACTGCACCAGTCTAATTTAACCTAAAGAAATATATTAGGTTATGTTTGGGTTGTGTTTTTGTTTGCTTGTTTGTTTTTTAAGGGTGAAAAAAACTCATTCCAGAGAGCCTCACATTCCTTTGGAAAATATATAAAGGGAGTTGGGAAATTGAGCCTTATGGGGAAAATATCAAACTTTGTAGTCATTGAATTTTCCCCTGGAATTACTCATAATTTAAGAGAAGGTTCTTAAATTGTCTATACTAAACAGATTCAGACCACAAATTAAGTAATGTCAATTTCTCATGCAGTGACATAGGGAATGTAAAACCTTATTCTCCTAACCTAATTTGGCCTGTATCTCGGAAATTCAGATTTTATTCAATGTAACATGGAAGGTCTGTAAATTCTAAGAAGACTACAACGGCTGGGAGAGTTTGGTATTTCCAAAATTTCTTTTAAGAGTTATTTCCCAGAATGGGATGTTCTCACATGTCATGTACTTAATTGGCCTTTGGCTTCTTTGAAAACTAGCCATTCCAGAAGTAGAAATGGTGGTTTATACTTTAATTATCCACACCGGAAGACAAATAAGTTAAGCACAGAATTAAGTTAAGCACAGAATTGCTTAGTTGAGTGTTAACTCCAGAACCACCTATCATTCCCCCCCCCCAACTCCCACCTCTTCCAGGCCAAATCCTGTTACCAAAAGTGAAACTACACACAATAATAGCCTGATGTAAAAAGACCAACCTGTAAAGTGGGTGTTGGTCCTGTGCCCTGGCACTGGAATTGTAAAGCAGTTTCCTCTTGTTAAAGATAATTTATGTGTATGATTTAACTGTTCAGCACCATCATTATTAAGACAAAGCCAATTATATGCTTAATAATTTAAGTTTATATAGTACCTTACGGTTTACAAAGCACTACCTTCACAATAGTTCTGTGTGTGCTTAATGCAGATATTATCTCCTGTTTTACAGTAGAGGAAATTAAGGGTTAGATTAAGTAAATGTAAAACCGTGGGCTTATTTTGGTTTAGTTTCACACTTTTAGAGTCACAGGGCTGGCACGTATCAGAACCAGGATTCACCCACCTCAAATTTCTGATCCCAAGGCTGGTGCTCTTACCACTATTCCGAAATGCCACTCGCCACACTTCCCACCTCCCAAAATTGTTTTAAATTACCTTAGAGCACTGAGGGAGATGAGGACAGTGATCCTAAGGAGTGGAATTTCAGTGGGATGACAGGAGACTCATATGGTCATTCTCTTTCCTCCTTCAGATTAAGGAGCTCACAGGCAATCTCAATAGGAACTCTTCATCTTCCAGTTTGTCCTCTGGCACCCCAGGCCCTGACTCAGATTCATCTCTGCCAACGACTCCCAAAGGAGAAAACAGTGTGGCTCTGTCAGTGAAGGATCAGAGGAAGGCCATCAGGACCCTTTTAAACTGGGTCCAAAGAAGAACAAGAAAGTAAGCTCCCTTCCTCTCTGTGGCACCCTAGGAAGGGCTTATTGCCCCATTCTGAATGCTTTGTCTTTTATCTGATTTCAGAAGCTAAAGCTCAGCTTCATGCTTCCAGCCTGGGCAGGAGCTCTAGGAATGGAAGAAAAACTGTCCCTGTTAATTAAGGGAAGAAGTAGTAAAGGATCCTCTGTGTGTGTGTTTTTAATCTGCAAAAGGAAAGGCTCAGTCTTCAGAGTCTTTGCTTTTTGTCATACCACGGGAGCACAGATCAGCCTCTTTTGGCTTCGTTGGCCTTAGTCAAATCTATAAAATGTTAGGGGTGTGCACGCAGTTGTCTCTAAGGCATTTCCTAGCTCCAACCTTCCGTTTTTCTAATCCTAATCCTAAAGTCAGTTCCAGCCCAGACATTCTGTATTTGGTATGTTAAATGTGTTTTTGGTAGTGAGAACCATCAGTTTTAACCCCATGTTTACATACATCTTTAAGTTGAAGGACTTTGTTTTTAAGTCATTACCAACTTAAAAGGTTGCATATCATGTATCAGGCATAGGGACTCATCTTTTTAGTATCTAATTCCTTTTATCTGACCTGGGATAAAATACATGTCCTAAAATTTGACTTTTCCACAATCACATTTGCTCAGCAGAACACCTACCTCCCAAGCAGAAATATCTTGCTTTTGTATCTCTTTCCAAATAAACTAGGCATTTGTATGTGTGTGTGTATATATGTATATGTATATATGTGTATGTATATATACAAGTGAGCAGAGGTAGGTATAATGATTTCATATTGTGCATGACAATATGCACTTTTGTCTACCCTATTTAATCTGAGTTAAATTTTTGCAGATACCATTGGGTGAAGGTGCTTAAGAAACCATGCATACATGGCTGTTAACATTTCTTCTTTATCTACAACAAATCCATGAATTGGCACAAAGATAAATGTTCAGAGCACTAGAGTAGACATTGAAAGCACCAGATCATAAGCCTTGGGTTTGAATCAAAACACTTATTAGCTGTGTTACCCCACTAATACTGAGTTTTCTCACTTATCAGATGAGACTAATAATACTTCATGGGCCATTATAATAAGGAAAGTGCTTTGTAGACAATAAAACATATGAGTATAAGCTCTTCCTGTCATTGCTATCAGTAACACTTCAGTGATAGGTGATTTTATCAGTCTGGATATTTTTCTATGCTGACACTCTCACTTTGACCCAGATTGTCTTTGAGAGTAGCTGTGACCAAAAACTTTGAACTCACTGGCCAACCTGGTTATCATCCTTTCTGATTTAGCTTGTCTGGTCCTCAGGCAGTAGACATATAATCTATCACTGGGTTTGTGTGTCATTGACAATAACAGGAAACTGAGAAACAGCAACAATAATACAAATAACCAAAAAAGGAATTTAGAAACCCTGCTTTAAGAGTATGTGATAATACAAATTAAGTTTCTGCTCTGAGAGGGGTAAGGGTACCAGTGGAAATGTCAAATTCTGGTAAGATACAGCCCTTTCCTCATTTACCCTACTGTTTAGGTGGAGAGGGGGGCATATGTCCTATACATTGAAAATCATTACACAGAATAATAAAGGATGACATTAGTGAGATACGTAGTGCTATGTGAAGTTGGAGGAAAGATCATTTCTAATTGGGGAAAATCAAGGAGATTTCTGTGGAGAAGATAACCTTTTCACTGGGCTTGAAACCATGGATAAGAATTGACTATGTTGGGATTGGTGGGTGATGTGATTAAACATTCTAGGCATGAACATTGAGGGGCAGAAAGAGCATGAGCAAAAGCATTGGAGTGGGAAAGTATAGGGCACGTATAGGGGACAGAAGTCCAATTTGGCCAAATAATGGTAGATGTAGAGGTGAATTCTGTGGGATGAGGTTTGAAAGATGAGGTAATGTCTGACTGTTTAGAGTTACTTTGTCTTTAAAAAAAATGTTATTCTGTCAATGAAGTAAGCAACTGACAATTTTTGAATGGAGGAATTACGTGACCAAATTTATACATAAGGAAGATCGTTTTAAAAGCTTGGAAAGAATAGAGTCAAAAGAAAGTGTAGCTACAAAGACCTAGAAGGAAGTAATTTCAGTAAGCATAATCATGTCCATGAAAGGTGCTAGCAGCAGGAATAGAGAGGAAGCGGGAAAAGTGTTGCAGCAGTAGAATAAACAGAACTAGGTAGTGTCTGTGAGAAGGAAAGGAAGAATCAAAGGGAGCCCTAAGGTTTTCAGTCATAGAAAACTATGGTTTTCTAACAATGGTTAGAATGGTGCTATTAACAGAAATAGTAAAAGAAAGAGGAACAGGTAGAATGGGAAATATATTAAATTTGGTTCTCCGGCCTTGGAGTCAGGAGGACCTGAGTTCAAAACCAGTCTCACACACGACACTTACTAGCTGTGTGACCTGGGGCAAGTCACTTAACTCTGACTGCCTCATCAAAAAGCAAAAAAAAAATTTGGATTAAGATATATTTACTTCGAAGTACTAGTGGACCACCTAGGAAGAAATGGACTATAAGTAGAGAGGGAAAGTCTAGCATTATAGCTTTGGGAATCCTCTTCATTGAGTTGGAGTTGAAGCCATGGAAGTGAATGAGATTGGAACATAGACTTAAAGTTGGAAGGGGCCTCAAAGTTGATATATCTCTTCATCTTACCAATGAAAAAACTGAGGCCCAGGGAAGTTAAGTGACTTGCCCAAAGTCATACAGGCACTAAGTATCTGAGGTGGGATTTGAGTCCAAGTCTTCTGACAGCCAGTGATGTCTTCCCTATATTACGCTGTCAAATGGGAAAGTAAAGTTGGGCAAGGTGCAAATAATTACCCAAAAGCAGTGAGTAGAAAAAGTTACTATTAGTTTTTCCCTGTATTTTAAGATGTTTAGATGTTACTATTAAAGCATTTCTAAAAACTACTCATTTGTGTGCCTCAAAATTTAGAATTTAAGGGTTTACTTGGCTTCTTTGTGTGGTGAATGGGGCAACATTTTCCACATCAATAGAAATAATAATAAACTGCGTGTGTGTGACATTTCAAAACTCAGAGGCCAAGTGTATTGGTGCGTGCCTATAATCCCTGTTACTGGGGAAGGCTGGGGCTGGTTCTAAGTTGACTGAGTCTGATAACAGTATGTTGAGCCCTGGAGGACAGAGGGCCACAAAGCTGCCTAAGAGACAGACTGGCCAGGGTCATAAAGGGAGAAAGTCAAAGTTTCTGTGCCAGTATGAAATAGGTTAGGCCTATGAGTGGCCATTGTCCTTCCAGTCTGAGTGAGATAGGGAGACCCAGTCTGAAGAGAAATAAAAAAAGCAATAACATTAAAAAAACCCTCATAAAGCACTTTCTTCATAGCCCTTTGAGGTATGTGAGTCATGTCGGTTTTATCATCCCCATCTCACAGATGAAAACACAGGCCCAAAAAAGTGAAATGACTTGTCCACATGCGTACTAGGAATTGTTGGATCCAAGGCCCAAACCCAGGCCTCTCCTGATCAGGGCTCTTTCTACTACACAATGACTATACAAAATAGAAATGCTGGTATTCTAGGCAGTCTGATGTGGAGGGGTGTTGTCATCTTAGGAAATGAAGCCGAAACACTTTCCATTAAGAAGGCGAGGCAGGTTGCGATAACAGCATCACAAATGATAATGTATCTGGCTTTCTAACCATCTCTTTTGCTGTTATTGTTTAGATATGGGGTGGCAGTACAGGACTTTGCAGGCAGCTGGAGAAGTGGTCTTGCTTTTCTTGCCATAATAAAGGCCATTGATCCCAGCTTGGTTGACATAAAACAAGCCTTGGAGGATTCTGCCCGGGAGAACCTGGAAAAGGCCTTCAGCGTAGCACATGATAAACTTCACATACCTAGACTCCTGGAGCCAGAAGGTAGGAGGCTGTTAAAATCAAACAAACAAACAAAAAATTAATATGGATAAGCGTAGGGTTGTTCACTTCAGAGCTGGTGCTTAAAGGTAAGTCCCAGCTCTGCTACTAAAAAACTATGTAACCTTGAGAAAGTCTTTTACCCACTTTGAAACTGACTTCTCAGAGGACCTTCGTTCTCTCATCTGTAAAACAAGAGAATAAGATTAGATCCGAGGTTTCCAAACTTATTTGGCCTATTGCCCCCTCCTAATAAATAAATAAATAAATAAACAAACAAACAAACAAATAAATAAATAAATAAAAAAGAAAACTCAGCATCACACTGGAAATCTACTTTCTTTAACCCTTTAATGTTTTTTTTAAAATGTGCATCATTTCAAAAAATTTAAAATATTTTTTAAAAAAAGACACATCTTAAATTTAATAATTTATTGTAAATTTGTGGGTTTTTTCCTGCATTGAAATTTTAATGACACAATATTTCATCATGTAACCATATAGTATTATATTGTAAACAAGTCATTACACCCACATATTCCTGCCAGTGCTTGTTGTACTTCCCTATGATGCCTAACCTGCCAACACTTGCTTGTTAAGACCTGTTGGTGGACTTGACCACTAATGGGTTATAACTTGCATTTTGTGTGTTTACTTGGAAAATATTGTAGTCACTATGACTTTAACTGTTACACAACAGATGAAACATATATGAATGGTTATACAAAATTTTTTTTCACTTCTTATGCTTTCACTACCCCCTTATTTTTATTCAATGCCCCTCAGTTGTGCATGAAGCTACTATCGCCCCCTTGGATCATTCCAGCACCCCCCAGGGGGCAGTACTGCCTACTTTGGGAACCTATGGATTAGATGATTCTTTAAATTCCCTCCCACCTCTCACTCTATGATATAATGAATCTGCCTCTTAAGATGAGGAATTTGGACTAATAGATGCTTATGGCCCCTTCTATCTCAGATTATCTGAGTCTATTTTAATTTTTGTTTGTTTACCAATATTAATATTTGTGTGTTTCTCAACAGATATAATGGTTGACTCACCAGATGAACAGTCGATTGTGACATATGTGGCACAGTTCCTAGAGCATTTTCCAGACTTAGAAGGAGTATGGTTTTTTTTTCTTTTCCTGGTTTCTTTGCCTGCCTTCTTTCCTTCCTTTCTTCCAGAGTTCTGAACTTAGAGTCAGGAGAGACCTGTATTCAAATCCCAGCTTCCATGCATTAACTGTGTGGCCTTAGAGAAGTCATGTCACTTCTCTGAATCTCAGATAATGATATTTGTATTACCTGCCTCAGATTGAAATGAAAATCCTTTGTAAACTTATACCAATGTGAGTTGTTACTTCTTCCTTCTTTTACTCCCTTTTATTCTTTATTTTGTTCTTCTTTTCCTCCGTTGTTTTTCTTCCTTTTTACCTCCCTCTTTCCCTCCTTTTCTTTCATTTCCATTGCTTTCTTTTCCTTTACTTTTTTATTCTCCTTTTCCTTTTCCCTCCTTCCACTTTTATCAATCCTAATTTAAGATTTCAGAGTTGGTAAAGCTGTACTTTGGGCTATGTATTCTGAGATGTGTAGCTGGTAAATTCACAGTCAAAAGTTTCAACCAGGAAAATTGCCCTGCCAAGGTTCAGTCCCCCTTTCTGCTATCATATATCACTTATTACGTTCTTGAAGATAAAAAAAAAAGTGGTTTACAAAATCCAGGCATGTTCACTCTGTGCAATCCTGTATCGTGGTAACTCTAAGCTACATTTTACTGAAATCCATTGAAAACTACAAGAGAGCTGCTCATTTGAAGAATAGGCCGCAGCTGTTTTGTTTACCTCAAACTGAAGTAAAAATTGAACTATAAGTTCAGCCAGACCCTCTTTATTTGTATTTAACCAGGCAGATTCCAAGCCTGTTAAAGAGTCTACCACAGTAGACAGAGAACTGGGAAGACCTCAGTTAGAATCCTGGCTTGCTACAAATTATTTGTGTGATTGGAATCAGGTTATTTCATCTCCTCCCTTTTAGAATGAAGGAATTGGATAGCTAAACTCTAGAGGCCTGTGCAGCTCTAAATTTTATGAAATTAGAAAAGGCATGCCCCCTTGAAACCTTTTTATTAGTCACCATTCTGTTCAAGATGGAAGATAAACCACAGACTGGAATTAGCATTGTCACAGATATGGTCAAAATTGGTCAGATCCTACAAAAGTTACCATGGAACAAATGGCCAGATAAGCATGAAATGTAAGCCAATTGAGTTGAAAGAAGGCCTTGCTTCATTAGTCATGTTTAGTCTGGAGAAGAGCAGACTTAGGGTAGACATGAGCTGTCCTGTTCAGTAGCTGAAGGACCAAGATTTGTTCTGCTGGTTCCAAGAGAGTGAAGTTACAGGAAGGCAAATTTTGGTTTAGTAGCAGGAGTTGCCTATCACTTTTAGAATAATTATCAAAGAGAATGAGTTCAGAAGTGGAAGTCAATCAGTAAACATTAATGAAGTGCTTACTGTATGCCAAGCATTGTGCTTAGCACTATGGATACAAAAAGATGCAAAGATAGTCCCTTTCCTCAAGGAGCCAATAATCTAATGGGGGAGACAATAAGCAAATATGCACAAACAAGCTATATACAGGATAAAAAGGAAATATTTCAGAGAGCAAAGGCACTGAGATTAAGAGGGATTGGAAAATGCTTCCTGTAGAAGATGGGATTTTAGTTGGGACTTAAAGGAAGCCAGGGAAGTCAGTAATTGAAGGTGAGGAGGGAAAGCATTCTAGGCATGGTGGACAGCCAGAGAAAATGCCCAAAACCAAGAGATGATGGAGTATCTTGTTTGCAGAATAAGAAGACCAGTATCACTGAATTAAAGAGTGTGTGGTATAGTGGGAGTAAGGTATAAGAAGACTGGAAAGATAGGAAGGGGCTGTGTCATGAAGGGATTTAAATGCTAAACATAGGATTTTATATTTGATCCTGGAGGTGATAGGAAACTACTGAAATTTATTGAAGGGCGGGGGAGAGGTTGACATGGTCAGACCTACGTTTTAGGAAAATCTTAGGATAGACTGAAGTGGAGAGACTCTTGAGGCAGGCAGACCAACCAGCAGGCTACGACAGTAGTCCAGGCATGAGGTCATGACGGCCTGCCCTAGAGTCGTGGCAATGCCTGAGTATCCCACGTCAGATGTTTTTGTAGGCATTGCCGCTGCTGAGGCCTGTAATCTGGCCCCTCCAGCACTATCACAGGTGTCGCCAATGCTGAAGTCTTTGTGGTGCTGCCATGCTTTCCTTGACCCTCTCCCCATTTTGTGTCAGGACTAGCACTCTCCCCATCCCCCAAACCAGAGCTTGAGTGCAGCTGCAGGAGCTGCCATGGGTGCTATTACTGCCCTTCAAAGCTGGGGCCTACACTGGGCCCTAGGGTCCATAGGAGTTTCTCATCTATCCCTCTCTGGCAGTCCCAGAGAGAAAGAAGTTACAGTTCACAGTAGTGAGAGCAGTTATCTCTCCTTTAAAGCTTTAAAAATTGATGCTTCCCCCCACCTACCCCTCACCCCCAAATCCTCAGTAAATCACCCAGGGTGCATTTGGTGCATTTGTCCTTAATCCCAATTCTGGAAGGTCTCTAGGTTCCAATGGAAAATTAAGCATTGTATTTTCAAGTGCACCAAAGTTCAAACAAAACACACCTGCTGCAGTTCCCAATGGCCTCCCAGATGACATATAAAAAGGCTCAAGCAGTTCCTTCAGCCCCGTTTCTGGACAATCTCAAAATTCCAGTCTTTAGGGAATTCCCAGAACTACCACAGCTGGTGGGTCTGGAGATCATTGTCATTTCTAATACAAAAATTATGTAAATTCAACCAACAACAATTTAAAGCCTTTACCATTTTGAAAGCTCAGTCCTTAAATACATTCTTTAAAGAGCACGTTCACATGTCTCTAGTTGCTGAATCTCTACAGACAGTTTACTCTTGAACGGCCCCAGGATGCCTCAGAGTACTGGGGCCAGCACCGCAAGCAGCATGGATGTCACCAAGGGCTTACTTTTCTCTACTTCTGTGGGACCACGAGGAGCCAGTCGTCATGTTTTTACACACCAAATGTGGTAGGCCAGACCTGACTCAGGCCAGTCTAGTTGTACAGGTTTAAAATTAGAACAAATAAGATGTTTATAAACCACCCAACAGTGAACAAATGGTCTACTTAGCACAGCAGGGAAAGTAATATTCAACAAGGGAAAGAGTAGTTGTGCATAGCTTTGCTGCCTCCATTCTGGCCATGCTGGTCTGTTGGCCAGAAACACGAGGAAAGAGGAGCCAATTCCTTCACATCCTTGCTTTTTGTACTTCAGCCATCAAGAAGCTTCATGAGTGGCCCAAGCTTTAGTCTCCCAAACCAATTAAATCTTAAAAACAATTTCAGTATTTTTAAGGAAAATTTAGCCTTGCCTACATGACAGATTATGTTCCTACCACGGTAGGCTATGTAAAAGTAAATAATGATCCTTGATATCTAGGTGCGAAGGTTAGTTTAAATAGGAAGATGCTTACTGAAGCAGTTAGGTAGTACAGTAGATAGAATGCTGGACCTAGAGTCATGAGGACTTGACTTCCAAGCCTGGCCTCAGACATTTATTACATGTATGCTGCCTCAGTTTCCTCATCTGCAAAATGGGGATAGTAATAGCATTTACCTCCCAGGGTTATTTCAAGGATAAAATGAGATGCCATTTATAAAGTGCTTTGCAAACCCTTAAAGTGCTATATAAATAATGTTGTAGTCATTATTAACGAACCTCCCTTTCTTTGCAGCATACAATACCTGCTCTGTGTATTGAAATGCAACTGTTGTGGTTTAATCACTAACTTCTAAAATTGTCAGTCCTGGAACTCTGATGAGAATCCTAAGTTCCAAGTTTCAACTCGGCTTTAATTCAACAGAATTCAACTTGACCTACATGAATTAAGCACTTATAAGGTAGTGAGCCACATATTTCAGGTGCAGAAATAAAATAATAGAGCCCCTCTCCAAAGACATTTTACCTGGGGTATGTTTGGGATGAGGAAAGAGATACAATTCAATAGGTACTTATATATATTTAACATAAAGTAGGCAGTGAAGGGTGCAAGATACCAACGCACATTGGTACCCTCTCTTCAATTTACCAGGTTTCCTAGAGAACGCAGAAGTTACCTCCCTGGGGTCACAGAGCTAGTATGTGTCAGAGGCTGGGCTTAACAGGTCCTTCTTACTCTAGCTTTCTACCCATTGTACCACACTACCTTTCATGATGTTAACAATAATAATAACTGATTTATATTATACTTTAAGGTACACAAAGCACTTTTCCATATATTGCCTCATTTCCTCTTTTCAGAAACCCCATGTGGAAAATGCTGAGTATCACTACTCCTATTTTACAGATGAGGAGACAAACTAAGATTAGCTAGTCACTTAGCTAGTAAGCATAGAGTAAAGATTTAAACACATGCCTTCCTGACTTCAGGTTCGTTGTCCTATCCACAATGACATACTGTCTCTGTCAATAAAAATGGAGGTGTTTGAAAGGGAAGATGAGTTAAGTGTGGGCATCTTGAGTTTAAGGTACCAGGGAGACATCCAGGTGGAGAAGGCCAACAGGAAACTGCAGTTCAAGGAAGAGATTAGGCCTGTATATATAGATTTAGGAGTCTCATGCATAAAAGTAATCATTGAGCCCTCTGGGAGCAAATGAGATCACCAAAGGAGGAAATACAGAGAAAAAAGAAAAGAAGACCCAGGACAAAATTTGGGGTACACTCCCATGTTGGGAGGAAGGAGATGATGGATGGTGAATCCGCAAAAAGAAACTGAGGAGTAATTATAGGAGAGAGTTAGGAGAGAACAATATAATTGAAGGCATGGGAAGAGAAAGAATCCAGGAAGAATGGGTGGTCAACAATCATAATAGCATTTATACAGAATTTTAAGGTTAGCCATGTACTGTACATATGTTATTTTGTTTGATCCCACAGCAACCCTGTGTGGTAAGGTTCTAAAATAAAAAGAGATAGGAAATTTGGGATAGATGAGGACTGAGGAAAAACCCGTCACTGAATTTAGCAATGAAATCATTGATAATATTTGAGATTCTTGTTTCTTTAAAGTTCTGGAAGTTAAGTCATTGAAGGCTGTAGCCATGAGTGGGAGCGCAGACTTGGAAAGGAGCGTCTTGCTTTTTTTTAGGGAATAAGAAGCCACAGTTTAGTAGGAGAAACTTGGAACTCAAGAGTAAAAAAAAAATTACAATTACTGACCTGGTAGTTTCCCTGTGAATCCCAGATTTTGCAGCCTGTCCAAAGCAATCAAAGATCTTCATTAACTGAGAACTTTCTGAAATATTCAGTACAACCAACATATGTTCTTTCAATATAGGAAACACTGTATGAGGCCATGAAGAAGACAGAAAATTTTAGCTCTTGCTGTCATGGAAGCTTACATTCTAATTGTGGGGTGAAAGAGAGGGGGGTAAAGAGAGAGAGAATGGGACATGTGAGTCATACAGAAATAACTAAAACACGTAGCCCTGGCTTAGCAGCCATGTCCACAAGCAGGACAGACTACTCGAGGAAAAGAACCCATGGCTGTGGAACAGTGGGCTAACCTTAACTCTCAAGAGAGCTCATCCTCTCCTCCCATCCCCAACACAAACAAACACTTGAAAACTGATTTGTGGGTAGAATTTAGAAAGGAGCTAGAAACATGAGAGCCAGGCAAGTAGGAAGAAGACATGGAAGATAGAGAGGGGAACCCCATGAGAGGAGGGATGCGTGATAAAGAGACATGCAAATGAATAGCTACTACGGAGTGAGCCATCAGAGCCTGTCAGGGGGGCAGTGGTGCCATCACAGCTCAAGGCAAAGCCATAGTGCCAGGGATGTGCAGCTCCAAAGCCTGCCGAAGGACAGGGCTAATCTAGTGACCACTTCCCCACCCAGCTCCCAAAGCTGCTTGTCCCTTTCTTTTTTCTTTTTTTTTTTTGTTAGTTGTAGGAGCTCATTTGTTACTTTACCTGTTACTTTCAGCTTAGATTTTTAAAAATCCTGTTGGCCAACAGAAAATGCTAGGTTGTATATGTATTTTATTTACGGCTTACAACTAAACAATAAGAGAAAGTGTGAACTATTTTAGGGAGACTGAAAGTTTAGTTCTGACAACCTATGGTTTTGGAAGCTAATTTAGGAGAGAAGACAAAATGGAAAGGATTATTGGCCTGTTATAAGCTTGGCATATGAATTCATAGTTATAGTACAATATAGCCATAGGACATGAGAATAGAATAAGTGGGAGAGGACAGTATAATAACTTAAACTGGAAAGGCAGGCAGTAACAGATTAGGGAGAACCTTTCAAGTGTCCAATTAAGGAATTCAGATATGCGCAGGTAAGGAGTCCAGTGCCTAGCATATAATAGGAGCTTAATAAATGCTTGTTGAGTGATTGATGAGGATGAGAAAAAGAGCTTGGAAGGCTGCAGAGTCATTCGGTCTCTCTGAGTCTCAGTTTCTTTATCTACATTATGAGGGAGTTAGACTGTAACAGCTAAGATATCCTCCAGCTCTGACATTCTGTGATTCTGTGATTCACTGGAAAGAGCGCTGGATTAAGACATTTAACTGTAAAGGGAACGTGGGTTCAAATCTTGGCTTGGTCATTTGCCATCTGTACCAATTTGCACAAGCCTCTTAACTTTTCAAGGTTTCAGTTTTCTCATCTACAAAGTGAGGAGTTTAAAATAGATGAACTCTTAAGGTCTCTCCCAGCTAAATTCTCTGACCTCTAATCTCTCTGCACTTGAATAAGTTCCTCTATAAAAGGGGGTGGGGAGAGAGGAGACAGGAGGTAAGGGCTAGAATTAATAATGCCTAAGCTTTAATAATCTATGTTTTATATCAACTGTAAACATTTTTCATATTTCATGTTTCCCATAATTGTTTGCAGGAAGATTTCACGGATCCTGATAAGGAGATTCCTATTGAATCTACCTTTGTCCGTATCAAAGAAACCCCTACTGAACAAGAGAGCAAGATTTTCCTTCTCCCTGAAAAGGGGGAACATACATATACAGTTAACTGTGAAACAAGTCAACCACCTCCTCCAATAGTCTTTGTCTGTGATACCTCAGAAGTGGGAAAGGAATTGGTCACAAATGAATGTCCCAGGGAATCTTTTGGTCATAGGGATCCCGAAAGCCCAAAGAACCACCCATCCCACGTGGCTGAGCAGGCATTTCCAGGAGGCTTAAATAAGCCAAGTGACATTAATGAATCATTATCAGAGCCATCTATTTTATTACCTAAAAAGGCTGGCCATAGGCCTGACTCTCTGCCAATTAAGAAAACTGTCCATTTTGAATCAGACATGTCTAGAGATGCTTCATGCAGTAAGGACATTCCCTTCAAAGCAAACTTGGGGAAGGTGAATGAGCCAGTCAAACAGGATGATTCTGTCTCATCATCTGGTGTAAGTAACAAAATAAAGCCCAGAGAGGTACATGTGAAAACAGCGGGCTCAGCTCTCAACAAAATCCTGGATGATTATCCTTTGACACATAAAAAAAATAGTGGTTTTTCAACTTCTGAGTACTTACCAGGGACTGCTGAAAGGAAGGATGTTGAAGCCAACAAAGGACATGATAGCTCTCCTTCATTAGAAGCCAGAGGTCATAAATTTATCCAAGAGACTCTAGATGAAGTTGCAAAGTTTGAAGAGATGACATTGAAGGCTCTTAAACAAAGCACTGAAATGAAAGGCTTGACTGGTCTCAGCCAAACCCTCCATGATGAAAATTCTTCCCCTGATGAGAAGAATGCCGCCTGTGGTAGAGTTTCAGAGGCAAATGTGGAGCAGTTGGCTAAAAAAGCATCTAAATGTCGTCGTAAAATGAAGGATTCAACTGTGGACAAATCTGACACTGACTTGCATAGCTCTGACATGCCCATGATTGACCCCAGTGATTATTCGTACCCAGCTTCCCCTGGCAAGGATATCTATAGTTACATTTGGCACCTACGAGAGAAGAATTTAATGCCCGAGATGGATCTCTGTGAAGAGGTGAAACAGAAGTCTGTTCACTATGACTATGAAGAAAACACTTTACCTGAAGATCAGCTGGAAACTCAGGATGATGTGGATGATGAGATCTCTACCCCCCTCAGTAGCAGTGTCAGTCTCGAGACTCTCGGTAGTCAAAGTGAAGACAGCCTTGACTTTAAGGTGTCTCCACCTTCTTCAAAAGTCTCAGTGATCCCACATGACCTCTTCTATTACCCCCATTATGATGTTCCCTTGTCTGCTGTTCTAGAAGCCTATGTGGAAGATTCTCACGGCTCTCAGAATGAAGAAAAAGTTCCAGAGAAATCCACCAAGGATGCTCAGGAACTTGACGCCAAGGGGGAAGACCATCAAAAATACTGTAAGAGCAACCCTAGCTATTCAGCGACTGAGGTGAATGCTGAGGTCCGACAGATGGCTCATGCTGGATGCCCAGCTGAAACACAGCCATCTTCAGAAACTGTTGAGGCAAAAGTCCATGTGGAACATAAAGGAAAGGACCCCCCAAATGGTGGCTCTGTGGACAGCTCTCAGGTACTTATTTGATATTGATTCCTGTGACCCTTCCCAACTCCTTGTTCAGTTCAGCAGCGACTATGTATCTACTACATATATATATATACATATATATATATATATATATATATATATATATATATATTTACATGATTCTGTGGGGGAGTATAAAGATGAATAAGACATAATGGTAAGGGAGATGACAGTCTTATAGCTAGGTCTTAATTAGTGTGAACAAATGAATCTCCTAAAATGGTCACATGTACTAGAATTTGTACTATAAGTAAAACATGATCATTGGTGCTAGCCCCGTATAAATATATTATACAGATTCAACCAGTACAACATTCAGGGAGGATTCATTATCCAGGCCAGGGAGAAGGGAGGAGTAAGGGAGAACTAGAAAAGAGAGACATCATTATAGTATAAGTCAGGATGTGAAAGCTTGAGAAGAGAAATAGAAAAAATATGCTGTGGGAATTCAGGATAAGGAGAGGTTACTTCTCACCTGAGGATTGGTGGAGGTATGGGTGAGGAGTAATCAGGGATGGCTTCAAGAAGGTGAAATTTGAATTGGGCCCTGAAGGATGGTTAGGAATTTGATAAATTAGTTTGAGATGGGGCAAGTTGCCCAAAGTGATAGGGCTTTTGGAGCCCAGTACCTAGTTAAACATCAACTGAAAGATTTAACCCAGGCCTTGAAATTGTAGGTAAGTAAGAGGAAAACTCCTTCCCACCTTGATCCTGTTGGGCATCCATTTAACTGAAAGGTTGGTTCCTTTCATCACCTCCTCAGAAATAGGAGCTGAAGAGTTAAAAGTCTGAACTTGAAATTTTGAAGGCTGAATAGTTAAAGGTTCTATGGAGGCCAGATCTGAACTAGACCCAAGATGGCTGAAAGAAAACCCAAATACATGTGTCTACTTAGACTCTAACCTTTATGTAGATGCAGCTGTCGAATTTAAGGCTCACCAGCCCGCACTCAGCTTCCCAGAACAGTAGTTCCTCTCAGAGCTAATCCAGGGGATTTTGCCGTTAGTCTCAGAGACTTTGTTTTTCATTAATTTTCCTATAGTGTGATCAAAAGAGTATTGACCTTGGAGTTCGGAAGTCCTTGGTCTGAGTCCTGGTGCTACCATTTACTAACTTTGTGACTCTAGGCAAGTCACTGTCCCTCTTTAGGCCTATGTTTCCTCATATTTAAAATGGGGACAGTAGCACTTGTACCACCTACTTCATAGCATCTTCATGAGAAAAGCACTTTGTAAAGCTTAAGACATGGTAGAAATGTGAGTTGCCCTCTAAATTGTTACTGATCCCTAAACCCTCCAGCTCAAGTCATTGAGTATCCTAGACCTACCTTCCTTTCTCCTGAGTCATCGGGACTTCTTAAGGCTGCCACCATTTTTAGCTATCCTAGTCTTTCATTTCTACCCCCATGAATCCACATCCTCAAGGCTGCAAAAGCAACTTTCCAGGCCTGAGGGACAAGATAACATAAACATTCTAAAATAATATTTTAAGGCAAGATAATTAGAAGACCATATAAAAGAGTTTAATGCAGCATCATAGTATTCAGTTTCCAAAGGCTATTATAGTGGGAATAAGCACTGGCAAATTCTACAGAGCTAGAAATGCCTTGAGTATAGGCCCAGCAATGAAGTGTGTATGTGTATGTTTGTGTATGCATGTGTCTGTACACATGTTCATGTTTTGTCTGAGGACCAGTTTAATTAAATTTGGGAAAAGATCAGCACCAGATTGGCTGCAGGGAGGTGATATTTTTAACCTCACAACTCCCGAGAACTGTCCTACTAAGTGATCTGTTGATAAAAGGATTCACAGATCCTTGAAGAATTGAAGTATAAAAGGAATCTACCTAGTACTAACCTGAATAGCATCCAAGCTTTCTATCCTATTCCTTAATGGAAATTAATTGTACCTAGTATGGACCATCCTGATTTCCCCCTAGGCAGAAAGCATCTATCTCCTCTGGGGCCCCTCTTCTCTTCAGAATACTCCCAAAATTGCACAACTTGGACTCTTTGGATCTAGCTCTTTGGTTCGTTTTCTATTTCAAGATTCACACTCAACCAATGAGGAAACCTCATGACATAATGGTAGATTTGTGATGCTCCACCTACATTATTTCTCTCAACCCTTCCCTACCTCTCCCCTAAGAGAAAATTTAAGAAATATAAAACACATATCGTTTTCCTATCAATTTAGAAAGATCATAATTCAACCTAACACATGGATCACACTCTGAATTTACAAAGGCAATTACTTTCTTTATAAGCTCATTAATTTGAGATTTACTAATGTAAAATTTGGAACCAACATATGTTTAAGTGCTTACTTAATGTGTTCTAGGTATGGACAGATGAAAAAAAAAGTCATATTGCAATCCCTGACCTGAAGGGGTCTATAGTTAAGCTATAAGAAGCTAAGTAACAATTTAAGACAACCGTATTGGAGATTGTTGCAAGTATCATAAAGCTTCAGGTGACTGATTGCTCAATGAATGATATGTTACACTCTAGTTCTAGAACCCTAAGGTTGCTCAGATCAGAAAAAGGAAAGGGTCAGAGAATGAGAGCGTGGTGATGACAACAAGAAAAGGTTTAATGCCAAAGAACCACAGACCCTTAGATTTGGAAAGGACCTCAGAGATCCAACCAGTACTTGGATAGAGAACCCACTCTAAGAGTTCTTAGAAATGACTATCTAGCCTCCTCTTAAAGATCTCCAATGGCAAAGAACCCACTACCTTGTGAGGCCACTCATTTCATTTTTGGAATATCTCTAATTTAGGCCTGCACAATCTGCGGCCCATGGGCATGCCAAAGGATTTTGAGTGGCCCGCCAAAAATATAGAGGATGTTTTCCTCTACGTTTTTCGAGGGCCTCCTGAAATCCTTTGGCAGGTTGCAGGTTGTGAAGACCCACTCTAATTCAGAGGAGGTTTTGCCTTCCAATGAGCCCAAATCCATCCCCAACCCAAATTTCCACTGATTGGTCCTTGTTCCTCTCCTTTGGGGCCGGATAGAACAATTTTAGTCCATGATAGCCTTTCAGATACTCCAATATAATTATTTTTTCTGGCTCAATTTTTTTCTACTAGAAGCCTGCTACTCCAGGCTGCAGCCCCAGGATAGATTTGCTCCCATAAACAAAAACATGTATTAAGTGCCTACGTTTAGAGTGCTGAACTAGGAAGTTAAAAAAAAACACAAAGTTTAGAAAAGGCCCCAGTACCAAGCTTTTGGAGTTTACCTGCTAGCAGGGAAATAAGACAAACACAGATAACTATTATAGGAAATATTGTACAAAAACTATAATTGACAGTTACAAAATACATACAGCCTCAGTTTAACTCCAGATTTTTAACTTTATATGCAGTCACATTTATAGCATTGTTCCTTTCAAATAATAATCATAGCTCATATTTACATAGCACTTTATGATTTACAAAATACTTTTCTCACAATAACTGTGTGAAGTATGTAATAGATATTATCATCTCACATTGTGGTATAATGAAAATGCCCTGGATTTGGAGTCAGAAGGCTTGCTTTGAACCTCAGCTATACTCTTTATTATGTGTGACCTTAGATAAGTCACTTCATCTGTTGGATAAAATCTCCTTTTTACTCAGCTGTAAGCTTTCAGGTGAGAGTGGCTGAATCAGTGATGTGAAACTCAGTTAGAAGTGGGGGCCATTAAACCATACATAAGGATTCCTTTGGGTGCCCTATTAACTTAGAAACCACATGTTAACATTACCTGTTTTAGTGTATTTTTGTTTATTTTGTTAAATGTTTCCCAATTACATTTTAATCTTGTTTCTATTCCCCTTCACCTGCTACTGGGGAGTGTTGTGGGCCAGGGGTTTGATACTTATGGGCTAAATTATCTTTAATATAACTTTCAGTTGTAAATGAGAATTCATTTTCGAGATGAAGAAACTGAAACCCATAGAGGCAAAATGACTTGCCCAGGGTCACCCAGATAGAAATTATTAGAGCAAGGACTCAAAGTTAGAGCTCTCCTAACTCTCAAGTCCATGGCTCTTTCCACTTTACCATGTGCCAGATATGATGATAAATGTCTAAACATCAGCTTTTGTGGGAGAGGAAATGTACTCGCAGCACACTTATTAATTTAATCTACATTATTAGGATTTTCTCCATCACTTTCTTAATTCTAGACAATCAGCAAAACAATAAATCAAGCTCTGATTTGCAGCATCTGCCAATTTATGAGATGTAAGTTTCACACGAAAATGTAACAATTGCCTTTTGTGAGCTGGTTCCAGCTGGTGTGCTGGAGCACACCCCTGATGTTAACCTTTACCATTTGACCCATTATTCAAGTAAATTCCTAAAGGACTATCTTATACTCAGAGGGAATTCCTAAGGGCTCTGCAAATTTACATGCATCTTGACCTTGGATTTTGCTTATCAACCTAATATCCCAGTCCCAACAGTAAAGCAATGATGAAAGCAACGGAACCAGAGTATACACCAAATAAGACCCAATCTAATACCAAAATGGGGAGCACTTTGAAGTACAGTGAATGGACTGAACACCATCCCCTTGACCCTTAAGCGCTTCCTAGAAGAGAAAGAATCCAACAAGTAATGGGCCTAGTGAATAGTTCTAGATCTGGAACCGAGAGTATTAGGGTGGCAACAATGGATGGTGCTTGGACTGGGCTTGGAAGCAAGAAAAGCTGAGTTCATTTTTTTGCCTCAAACATGTATTGACTGTGTGACCCTGGGCAAGTCACCTAACATTTATTAGCCTCAGTTTCCTCATCTGTAAAATGGCCTCTAAAGATCTATTCCAGGGCATTTCCCATTGCCCCTAAAACCTGGTTTCCCTTATTTAAAATGGGAATAATAAGACTTGTATTCCCCGTCTCACCTAAGTGTTGTAAGAAAGCCCTGACCTGGATGGTGAAGGGTGGTTCAGGTTTGGATCAGTGGAGAAATGTGGGAGGGCCTTCCAAGAGTCCATCTTGATATCATTTTACTATTACTTAAATAACGTAGTTTGAAGTTGACCAGTGAGTAACTTCATCTTCTGTGTCTTTTCCCTATTCTAGGCCTGCAGTGTAAGATGCACCATAAAAGAGTGGATGGATTAGGAATGATTCTGAGCAGGGCTTTTCTGCAGCACATGGGCTATGCCTGCACAAGCAATGGGAAATGGAGTTCTGGGGGAAATTAACTAGATGTTTAAGGCAAAACCCAATAAAAATTGAGAAAAAAAACTATTGGGAAAGTGGGACTCAGATGTCAAGATTGAATGTCTACTTTGCTTCAGTTCCTGGGCAGTTTCTTTTGTTTCATTCTCTGCTTTGCAGTGCTGACTTCAGTATGGCTACTCACACTCAAATGTGATGTTTTCAACTTTAACCAAAAATCATTAAGTACCTACTGTGTTTAGATCATAGTTCCAAACTTTGGAGGTGAAAACTTCAGATAAGATTTAGTAATTGCCCTTTTGGAGATTATCTCTGAAAGGGAATTTTTAACACATACGAATCAAATAGCTATTATCCAAAATGATAATCAGTGCACAAAAAAAATGCAAACGCTGCACACCATGGGAGGTCTCAGGGTGGGAAACAAGGTTCTACAGATTGAGATGTGGAACTTTTGTTGGGGGAGAGACATTTGAGTGGTCCTTAAAGGATGGGTAGAATTTCAGCAGATGCAGAGAAAAGACATTCTAGGAGTAGGGAACAATAAGAGCCAGGGCTTTCACCCTGATATGCATAATGCAGATACAAAGTATGATTGTTCCCTTACCCCCTGCCTAGTCCCTTACCCCATCCATATGTAAACCAGGGGGTGGGAGGAACTGGGCAGCAGCACAGTGGGGAGCTCATTAGCATGAGTATACTAGAAAGTTAAGTGGCCACAATTAAAAACTTTTTTTTTCCATTTTCCATTTTGTTGTACTATTTCAAGCCCAAGAAAGTAGTTCAGATCCCACCTCCACAGCTAAAGAGCTGTGACCTTGGGAAAGACAGTTAATTTAGCCTCACTGAGCCTAACTTCATTGGGCCTTCATTTTTTTTTTAATCTAGTAAATGAAAGAATTGAACTAATCAATCTCTAAGGTCCCTTCTGGCTCTAAATCCGTCATTTTAATCTAATATCTTGAAAGACATGAATGTTACTCTAGCAGCAGTTAGAGTCTAGGACCCCCCTGAGTAAGGGAGTGAGAAGAGAAACAGAATGAGAAAGAGAAACAGAATGGGAGTGAGCACATTAGCTTGTATTAATAATAACAGTAGCTCACATTTATGTAGCAATTTAAAGTTTACAAATATTTCTCATTTGAGCTTTGCAGAAACCCTAGCAGGTAGGTGCTCTTATTATTCCCATTTCACAGATGGGAAAACTGAGGCAGATGGAGGTTGCGACTTTCCCGGAGTCAGCCAGCTAGTAAATGTCTGAGACTGCGTTTGAACTTGGGTCTTCTTGACTCCCAAATCCAGTGCTCTACACACCTGCTTTAATAAAGAAGCAGTGAACTGGAAAGATCATGAAGCTTGGATGCTGGCCTCGACATTTCCTAGCTGTATAAACCTCAGTTTCCTCATGTGAAAAATGAGATTAATGTTACCTGTATTAATTAAATGAGATTAATGCCACCTGGCTTGGTGGTTATGAAGAAAACTATGTAAATGTGTACTATTATTACTGGAGGCCAGCTCCCAGAACTTCCATCCCTTTGTGATTCTTCTCACCTTCAAGAAAAAGGTATCTTTTGTCTGGTGAGTTGGGAGGAGAGAGGAGAAGGCATTATTTCAAACTCTTCAGAACAGTTTTTCCTCCCCAGCCTTTGTTCATATCTTTGACCATTTTCTCCCTTACGTGTGACCATTAAAATCCTTTTCTGGCACAAACCTGTACAGCAGGTTCTCCCAGCCCTTCAGGGGAGATTCCTGATGTGTAAGTTTGATGATTCCAGGTTTTGCCCCTCCTCTAAATCACAGAGCTATTCTTTTTTTTTTTCCTTAAGGTGAGAGGAAGAGGGGAGAACCATATAAAGGCAGACATTTCCTTTTCATATATAATTTAATTCCACATTTCCGGGTTCAAGAAGTAACATTCTGAGAACACCCTGAAGGCAAAAGTATTATCACACTATACTTGGCATTTGCCTGTCATTAAGCCCAGCTTAGTTCAGATTTTTTTTTAATAGTTGGCTATTTGGGGATCCTTTTTTCCCCTCTCTTTTCTTTATATAGCTATTAGTGCCACCCTTGACGCACAAATCATGCATTGCTTTGTAGTATGACTATATGCCTCCATGATTTATCTCCTTATTGTATTTTAAACTCCTTGAAGTCAATTCATTTCATCTGAACAGAATTTATTAATCACCTCTTATTGTGTGCACAGCACTGTGCTAGACTGGGGAAGAAGCACAGTTTAGATAGAACTTACTCCTTGCCTTCAGGTAGTTCATTCTTTCCTCAGTTTTAGTTTGTAACAATGAGGTGACACCTCTCCTTGCCAAGGCCAGCTCTTTTACTTGTGCCCCTGATTTCACTTCTCTATGAGCTCACTCCTTTGGTCCTCTAGGTGGACTGACTTACCTGTAATCTCTGTCTTTCTACTCTCCATCATTACTATACTTTAAAAGACAAACAAACAGAAAAAAAAAACCTCTCACTTGATCCTGACATCCATTAGCTCTTCCTCCTTTCACATTCAGACTCTTAGAAAGGGTTGTCTATACTTTCTCAGCCTCTGCTTCCTAATATCCCATTTATTTCTCAACCTGCCTTCTGGTTTTTTGTCGTTGTTGAGTTGTTTCAGTTGTGTCCAACTCTTTGTGACCCCATTTGGAGTTTTCTTAGCAAGGGTACTGAAGTGGTTTGCCATTTTCTTCTCCAGCCCATTATATAGATAGGAACTGAGGCAAACAGGGTTAAACGACTTGCCCAGGGACACATAACTAGTAAGCGTCTGAGGAGGCTGGATTTGAACTCTCAAAGATGAGTCTTCCTGATTCCAAGTCCATTGCTCTATCCACTATACCACATAGCTGCCTTCTGACTTATGATACCACCACTCAATTGAAACTGAGCTTTCCACCATTTATCAAAGATCTTTTAATTTCAATGTTCTTTTCTTAGTCCTAATCTTTCTTAATATCTATATGGTTTTTGACACTATCTCCCCCTCCTCCTGAATTCTCTCTCTTGCTTTGGTTTTTGTGATATAATAATGATTATTGAGCTGAACTAATAATACACACAGTGAATAAAGATGATGGAAAGAATATTAAATTTGAAGTCAGAGTACCTGGATTAGAATCTGAACTCTGCTATTTGGAAAGATCACTTCTATTTTCTGGTCCTCCATTTCCTCCCAATTACATGATAAATGCATTAGAGAGCTCCAAAACAAAATTCAATAGCAGGTAGTCCAAGATGGAAAGAACAAAGGATAAACTTTCTGAAGGAACTAGCATTTGATATAGACTTTTTAATGGGTGGGAATTCCACACTATGTCTTGTTTTTATTTACATCTTACATCAGGGACAGGGCTTTGTGGTAAGTGCTTAATCAAGCAATGTTTGTGGGGTAAGTGAATTGTATAAACTATTGCTCTGGGATTTTCTAGCACATCTGGTTGTTATGTTACTGAGTTCCCACTAAAAGTAAGCAGTACAGTGAAAAAGCTTATCATCCACTGAAAGATAAAGTAGGAAAAATTCTGAACTGCAAGCCAGAAGTCCTACATCCAATACTTATTAATCTAACCTTAAGGATGTCCCTTCACCTCTCTGAGATTTAGTGCTCTCATTGGTTAAAAAGGGGAAAATGTCCTGGTCCTACCTACTACTCCCCACTTGGTCTGAAGCTCAAATGATAGATATTAAAATACTTTAAAAATCATAACAATAACTAACATGTAAACTTTAAGGTTTGCAAAGAGCATGGCATATATTATATTGGTCTGTACCACCACCCAGAGAGATGAGTGCTGCAAATATTGTCTCCATTTTGCAGATAAGAAAATTGAAGCTTAAATAAATAAATAAATTATTTTGCCCAGAGCCACATAGTAGATACTAAAAATAGAGTTTGAACGTAGGTCTTCCTGACTCTACGTATTGCATTCTATCCCCCATACTGTGCTGCCAAAGTGTTGTATAGAATTAAGAGATTATTACTAATGGGTATTATGATGGACTGGAAATGGACCAGTCCATCTTTGAGTCAAAAGAACATTACTTAACCATAAGCACTTAGCATATACTTATTGTCCGTGTGACCTTATGCAAGTTGTGTTAGCTTCATTTTCTCCTTCTAGAAAAAGGGTTTAATAATCCTTATGCTACTTGAGTCACAGGATTGTTTTAAGAAATGTGATTTGTAAATATTGAACGATATTTACAAATATAAATAATATTGAATAACACTAGAGAAATTTGAGTTGCTATTTGTATTTGATTGTTAATTAGCAGTTGGGTGGATGGGGAGAAGCTGAGATGAAAGTAGGGGGAAAATCTAAAAAGAAGCCTAGGTTGGGATTTGGGTTGGATGCTGCTGAAGAAACTGCAGTAAAGGAAGTACTGTTGGACTTATAAGAGACAGAGGCATGATACAGCTATATTATTTCACACCTCAGTGGAAAATATTGATTTCTTTTAAGTCCCAGGATTTTCAAAATGTGGGCAAGTTAGATGTCTCTTTGCCCGAAGAAGCCAGAAGTATTAAGAAGAAAGAAGAGTGGAGTCATGGGGACAAAGCAGAGAAGTCACTCTTTGTAGCAGCTAAAGCTGCTCCTTTCTCAGAGGATCTAGAAGAAGAAATCATTGATGGCAAAGTGATTTCAAGGTATTTGGTATTAACAGAGTTTTCTCTCAGATTCAAGAGCCTAAAAATGACTTTCTTAATTGCATCTCACTTTCATGATGGGGTACAGCCTGGCATGAAGGAAGGAACCCTGGAATCTGAGCCACAAAACCTGGGTTCTAGGCCCAAAATTGCCACTTAGTAGTTACATGACTTTAGCCAGTTATTTAATCCCTCCGAGCCTCAGTTTCCTCATCATTAAAGCAGGCATAATAACTCCCACAAGGTATGCTTCACTAGGTTGTTACAAGGAAAGCACTTTCTAAACCTTAAAACCCTATATAAATGTGACTTTAGTTAGTAAATGTGAAAGCATATTGCAACTGTAAAAGCCTATTTAAATATAAGGAATCATACCATAATGGGGAGGCAGGAGTTACGTGGACATTATAACTTAACAATCCAAAAATTTGATTTCATCCTATTCTCAACTTCATTAGCCAAACCACCAGATCTGTAACACGCAGAGCAAAGAAAGAGGATTTAAGTTTTGTCTCCTCTTTTTGGCCATGTTCACCCTCTGGTGGAGGTATCTGTCAGCATCAAAATAGCAATGAACAGGAGGAAACAGAAGCACCTGGTTAATTTTCAAATCACCATTCCTTAAATAATTGAAAGTGGCTTGTAAACCCCTAAACATTTCCTTCATCACTCAGGAAGCATAAGAAAGAGCACTGGAAACTCGGTGCTCAAAACACACCCAGGGTTCATGTTCTAGTTCTACCATTTATACACCTGTGTGACCTCAGGGAAATCCCTTCCTCAGTCTAATTCTCCCAAATGGGAGTATTGAACTAGGTGATCTTTAAGATCCCTTCCAGAGTTAAGTTCTGTGAAACCTGATGGCTTAACAGCATACATGCTGAATAGTCTCCAAGCCTTCTATACTCAAGAAATGAACATTCATGGTGGTTCTTATACCTTCACAGGTAAGATAATCCCCAGCTGTCCCATGAATTTTGTCCTAAGGCTGTCACTGAATATTCTAGAGTTTGAATGGATCCCAAAGTTGAACTAGACTCATTGCTTACCACCCATTTATGAATGGTGAATCTTACTGATTCTAACTTGGAGCAGCTCTTGGGAATCTCTTCCTTTTATGGAGCTAAAGTTTAGCCCTCTCTCCCAGTTTGCATCTACTGGACCTAGTTCTCTCTGTGGCTAAGCAGAAATGAAGAACAGAAAACATTTATTAGGTGACTAATCTGTGTCCAGGGCCCCGTGCTATGTCCTAGAAATACAAAGGAAAATTACAGTTCCTGCCCTTGAGAAAATGATGACAGTCTAGTTGGGGGATGAAGGATAGACACAAATAATTGTGATAGAAAATAGAATAAGACAGATGTACACAACAGACCAATCAGGCACAAAACATTTGGTGAAGGAAGAATTACTCCTGGCCAAGATCAAGGAAGTTTATGTATGGAGGAGGTGAACTAGATCTTGAAAACTAAACTAGATTTTGAAAAAAGAGGTTTTCAACAGGAAGAGATGGGTAGGTGCTCCAGTCTAGACAGATGCGGATAGTGACATGTGCAAATGCCCAGAGGTGAGAGAGGTCAGGATGAGAGCAGGGAATGATAAACAAAAGTTTCCTGAAACATAGTATATGTGAAAAGGAGAACTGGGAAATAAGGCTGGAAAAGTAGGTTGGAGCTAGGCAGTTTTAGACCTTAAATGCCAGAATTTGCATTTTTTTCTTATAGACTATTGGGAATCAATGAAGTTTTTTGAACAATGGAGTGGCATGATAAAAGGGGGGTTACATTAGGAAAGTTCTTTTGGCCACGGAGTGGAAAAAAAAAAGAGATTGGAAGGGGAAACAATAAATTATTTTTAAGACCACTAACAAGTCTAAGTTTTTTCTTCCTTGGATTAAACATTTTTGTTCCTCCTAAAATATTATTTCAAGTCTGCTCACCATACAGGTCAATTCCTGTGAGTAACTCTGGCTTACCAGTATTTTTTCTAAAATGTTCACCCAGAACTAGACATGATAGACCATTGTGTGGCCTAACCAGGACATAGTATAGCAGAGCCATCTCTGTTTTTCTGTACATTAATGCCTGCCTTCCGTATCACACTATTGATTCACATTGACCTTGTAGGCCTCCTAAACCCTTGAATCTTTTTCATATAACTTACTTGCTAGCCACACCTCTCTTATACTGGCTTTTTAATTTTTTTTAACCCAAGAATAAGACTTCATATCTATCCTTCTTAAATTTCATTTTTAGTCTGTCATCCCAGCCTGTTAACACTTTTTTGAGATTGGCATTCTTTTAGCCAGTATTCCATTGTCCATATTCTGTCTTCCAGCTTCAACATCTATACTATGTCTTGACTCAAGTTCAGTTCAGGTATTTATTAAGTATCTTCTATGTAGAAGACACTATGCTAGGTCTCTGGGATGCCAGAACAAAAATGAAAAATAGTTCTTGCCCTCAAGGAACTTGCATTCTACAGGGAGATACAAAATGTGCCATGATAATCAGTTATAATGTAATTTGAGAAGGGAGAGAACTCTTAACTGCTAGAGAGCTTAGAGAGAGTTTCACAAAAGGTATGGCACCCTAATTGACCCTTGAAGGAAGAAAAAACTTGAAAGGGAGAGGCAAGGAGAAAGAGTACTCTAGGCATGGGGGAGGACCTATGAAAACGGAATAAAAGTGACATAGAATACTAATAACCTACTTTGCAATATAAATGAATGTGAAAGGAAATAATATGAAATGTAAGGTTAGATCCCAATTGTGGAGGATCTTAAACGCCAAATTGAAGGGTTCACCTTTTATCTTAGAGACTTTAGCGAATCACTGGAGATAATTGAATATGGGAGTGACATAGTCAAGTCTGAGTTTTGGAAGATTATTTGGAAGACAGGTAAAAAAGGGAAGAAGTTAGAAAGAGAGAGGCCAGGAGTAGTGGCCTGAAAGTACAGAAGTGAATGTGAAAAATGTTATGGAGATAGAATTAATAAAATTTAGCAATTGATTTGCTGGGTGAGGGGAGAAGCATTAAGGATGACCCTAAGGTTATAAATCTGAGTGATTAGGAATCCTGGTAGTACCATCAATAAAAATAGGAAAGCTTGTATGAGGGGCAAGTTTAGAGAGAAATAGACTGAAATATGTTGTGAATATATTGAATTTGAAATGCCTTTGGTATATCCAAGTAGAGATAATCCACAAGTAATTGGGAATGTCAGAATGCAGTTAGTAGAAATTGATACTGGATATAAAGATATATGTCTTGAGAAAACACAATTATAAATATTGAGCAAGAACGGACTTTAGATGTCATCTGTTTTAACACCCTCATTTTACAGTTGAGGAAACTGAAGCCCAGAGAGGTTAAGTTACTAATCCATGGTAACACATCTGGAGCGTCTAAGCCCTCTGACTCCAAATCCAGCATTCTGTCCACTGTCTCTTGCTGCCTCATGCTTAAAGATACTTGGGAACAGATGAAATATACAGGAGAGCATGTGGAGAGAAAAAAAGAGCCCAAGAGAGTGCACTGGGGGACATCTATGCTTAGGAGATGGGAGATGGATGATGATTCAACAAAAGAGATTGAAATCTACAGATAGGATTAGTGGAAAAGACTGGTCAGCTAAGAGGAGGAAAAGGAGAAAACAGTGTCAGTAAAGCCAAGGAAGAAGAGAGTATTCAGGAGAAAGAGATGATCAGCACCAGAAAGTTGCAAAGCAGTCAAGTTGGATGAAGACCAAGAAAAGGCTAGAGGAATTTACATTTCAAAGATCATTGGTAATATTTGAGAGAGCACGTGTAAGTAGGTGCAATAGGAATCTAAATTTAAGTGAGTGGGAGATAAGGAAGTAGAGGCAAGTGAAAGCAGACAATTCTTTATAGGAGTTGGGCTGTGAAAGGGAGAAAAGATAGAAGACACTAGTTTAAGGGTATGGCTGCATTAAGTGAAGGTCTTTTTTGTTTTATTTTTTAATGATGGAGAGACCTGGGGATTATTTGTGTGCAGAGAGCCAGTGAGAAGAAACTGAAGATTGTGTGAGGTGGAGAGAGAGAACAGGAATGATAAAAGGGCAGTGCTCCTGGAGGAGATGGGAATGGGTAAGATCAAAGTCTCAAGTAAAGATGGGTTGGCCTTGGGAAAGAGAAGGACAATCTCTTTGGAAAAGACTGGGGCAAGGGAGAAGACAAGTGTTGAGAGAGATTATAAGATGCAGAATGGGACAAGTAAGAGTTCCCAGTGTACTGGATAGCAGGAGACCACTTGAACAAGTGTGCTGGTCAATCAGAGAGAAATAAAAAGATAGCCATGTGGCAGTGAGGGGCCAGTTTTAGATTAGATTGAATTAATTTTGTAGTTGACTTGATGAGCAAGTATATGACTCATGCCAGTGGCATTTAGCAACAAGGGAATAGGAGCAATGAAGAGATTGGTGGGCTTAACCCAAGGTCATAGATTGGCAGGTGTGCTCAAATTATCACTATTATCTACATGTGAAACTCCAAGTATGAAGGCAGCAGTTGGAGTAGAGACAAAGATTGAAAGCCAAGTATTGAATTCAGTGAGAAAGGAGGAAGAGTGGCCTAGAGAATGGTAGATCGGAGCAACAAAGAATTGGATTGAGAGATGTAGGTGGATTTAATGACCTTCGAAGGCATAGAGGATTCAAAATAAAGGTTCCAGAGCACAAGCATGCATTAGGCATGGGCTAGCAGTGCTGGCACTGGCTCCCTATGGGAGCACTCGAATTAGAGTTTGGCTCCTGTAGGGGAAACATATTGGGTCTGGAGAGAAGGTAAGCCTCAGAAAGTGGGCACTCACATAGGAAATGCCAGTGAAACTGATCCTCTAGAGCAAGGGTGGGGAACCTGTGGCCCTCTAGGTCCTCAAGTGTGGCCCTTTGATTTGGATTCAGTCAAAGGGCCGCACTTGAGGACCTAGAGGGCCGAGGATGCAGCTCTCCACCCATGCTCTAGAATATGCCGGCACACTCTACTTGTGCTCTGTGCATACCTATAATGTAGAGAGATGATATGAATGTGACAATGAGAAGCAAGGAATTTGTTGACTCCTCTTCCTGGACCAGTTTCAAAGCCATAACTAGCTCAGGGCAACCAGGTCTTTGTCACAGGGTACTGACATGGATAGAGGGGCTGGGGGTTACAATGCTTCTTCCCTGTAAGCAACTTCCCTCCCCAGCTTTGCTTCACAGTCCCTCCCCACCGTCAGGATCAAACTGGGTCAAACTCTCTATGAGATAGACCACTTTCTCCCCTGGAAGGACCAAACCCATGGGCTGCTTCCTTCTCCACTCAATGGAATTTGCTTCAGGCGCAAGAAGTCTGAGTTATGGCTCTGCCCAGTACATCAGAGGTCATGGGAGAAGGAGTACCTGTTACTGAAAGATTGGTCAGGAATTCAGTTTCTTATGAAGAGAGGCAAATTTCTATGAGTACAAGAAATTACTAATAAAAATACTGAAAAGTGAGAGGGTCGAAGACAAACCCATGTACTTCTGTTCTAAAGACCCCTCTCCTCCTTATTAAATATAATATGACTGTATTGGATCCATTAATCTGTTTTCTTTGGATTTTGCCCACTAATTTCTGAAATCTGCCAAATTGTGTCCCAACCCGCATCTCAACATGCCATCCAGAAGGGACCATGAGAGTCTTTTGTTCGATGCTGAAATGTAGGTGTACTGTATTTGTGGCATTTTAAGGATGCAGTGTACATATGGAAAGGAGACAGTAGACTGGAAGAGGCCAAAGGTGGTTGGAAGGGATTACTCAAAAGGCCAAAGCTCTTACAGCACATAAGAGGGACAAGATCAAGGGCTGTAGTGAAGAGGGATTGGCCTTGAGAAAGAGAAAGAAGGACCCTCTGTTCCTCAGAGAGTGCAGCAAAAGAGTAGACAACAAATAAAGACATTACTATGGCATAATTGTTCTTAATGGACCCAGGGTCTGTAATTGGTACAATCTATTTCTGGTTTGTTTGTTTTTTTAAATTGGAACAAGATTTGTTCATACGCAATCTGGCAGAAACTTTCCTCTTCTCTAACACTTCCTTAAGTGCTTCATACAAACAGTAAGCTAGTGGCTGAGATGAGGGAAAGGGAGTGCAAGGCGGGGAGAGTGGGAGGAGGCAAGGTGAATCAGAGTGAAGGAGCTGGCATGAGCTAGCAAGGGGTCTCTCTTTTTCTCCTGGTTTTTTTGTAATCCTTACCAGAGCTGCAGGTAATCAGGTTTGGGAGAGTGTGGAGGAAGGTGACAGGATAATTCCTTGTGGATTCCTTGACAGGATAATTCCTGGTGTTTTGAAAAGAGTTCTGTTGTTACACATTTCTCTTCCCACTTCTGCACACCATCCTGAGCCTGCCCCTTCTGAGGGCAGGCCTGCCAGGCAAACATACCTTCTCTTTTAACCACCAAAGATGACCCTGGGGCAAACATAATAAGTAAGATATTTGCCATCTCACTGTAACGCTAACTATGGCTCTAAAGAAACCATATGAAAAGTACATGCCCTCATCATGGTAATACCTGGTAGTTAGCTCTTATGCCTGTTTAGACACAGGTTTATGCCAATGTCACTGCTTTTGGAGAATTGACCCACTTGGACATGATTCTGTATAATGCAACAGTGAGATATAAGTCAAATCCAATTACAGTGAATTTCATTACTAATGCTGCTTTTGAATATTCAAAAGATAATTTCCACTTGGTTAGAAATTACACTTTGTTGATCTGATTGTGGCAAATTATATCCAGTAGCAGGATGTGTACAGCAGTGGTGGGGGGATGCAGGTGGGGTGGGAACAAAACTGAACTTAGAGATCTTTCTGAAGATCCAAGTTGGAGGCTCAGATCTTCCACTTACTAGGCCTGACCTTGAACAAGTCACTTCACCATTTTCAGCCTCAGTTTCCTCATGGATATAATAGGTATAATACTCCCTGAATCATTGTGAGGGACGTTTAAGAATTTTAGCAACCTGTAATCTCAGCCCAGTGACAAAACAGCTCCTAAAAAAAGCAATATCAGAGGCTCAGTTTGTAGAATCATGGTGTCCAGAACAAGTGAGTTGATCAGCTGTACAATTGTTGCCTAATCAGATCACATCTGGAAAAGTGGTGTCCATTTCTGAAAAACATTGACAAATAGGTATAGGTCCAGAGGAAGGTGACCAGGAAGGGGATAAGCCAGATCTAAGGATGTTTAGATTGGAGAAGACTTGGGACCTACCTAATAGCTGCCTTCATTTCTGCCTAATAGCTGCCTTATTTCTCCTTGACAGGATAATTCCTGGTGTCTGTTTGACTGTCATGTAGAAGAGACAGTTAATGGATTCTGTTTGGCCTTAGAGGATAGAATTTGCAGAGAGGCAAATTTTGGTTCATTATAAGAAGAAACTTTCTAACATTTCGGGTTATCCTGAAAGCAGAAGGGACTTCCTGAGAAAATAGTGAATTTTCCCATCACTGAAAGACTTGAAGCAAAGGCTGGACCACCACCTGTGGTTTTGGTAGAGGGGATTCCCAGTCCAGGTGTAGGGGGATTAACTCTGAGCTCCCTTCAAACTCTGGGATTTTATGAACCTAGGAAATGAGATGTGGGATACTTAAATGAATCCATGATCTCATTGGAGTGCTTTGTCCATATCTTCTCATTCTGAATAATTCTTGACCATATCCTTACATAAATTCTTAAGAGACGATTTTCCTAATATTTTAGAGACCTACTGTTGGTTCTTAAAATATTTCATAGATATGAGTGCCGCAGTAGAGCTGTCCACCTGTTACCACCAGCCTCATTCTCACTAAATGACTGGACTCCCTCCTCTTCTAATCATACGTATCCTCCATAACATTTTTACTTTGCTTCTCACATGCAAGTCATTATTGGTGAGTGACATGGTTACAGCTCCGGTCTACCTATCATGCATCTTTTCATTGCCTTTTCAGCTACTTGACAGTGTACTTCTGAGATTGTAGTGTTTCATCTCAGAGAATATTGTCAAAAGATAGATTTTTATTTTAGGGATTGCTTAAAGTACTTCACAGTTTTATAAGTTCAACCAAGTCCCATCTCTTCCTCTTAATTCTTGGCTTGACTCATTATTTGTTTGTTAGGTCTGAGTGGACTGGCCATTCAACTACACGTCATTATTTGGGCAAGGTATATTCTTCATCCATTTGCTTTTTCCTGTGTGGATGATTAGATTGTGGAGTTTACTAAAGAGAGCCTACAGTGTTTCCAAGGTTTGATGTAATCAACAGTGTCATTTATAAATAGAAACTTCTGCAGAACAGTTTTCTATTAATAGGAAATCCTCCAGTATATCTTTGAGACTATTTCTCCCTATTTGATGCTTCTTTTAATGTTGAACAAAATTATTTCTGTGGTAGTCTCTATATGGAGTCCTGTAATATATTACAATATGTATTAGAAGATTCCTTTCAAGAGTGCCTTTAAATGTGCATTGTATTCTACCAAGACAAATGGGTTTTTTTTGGGGGGAGGGGAGAGTAATTGACACACAGTAGAGATGACAGGATCTTATATTCTGTGCACCTCTCAGTCAGTCATTTGTGTGTTTATAAAGATGTGGTCTCTTCTAGAAAGTAATCTGTCCTTATATTTTCTTTTTTTCTCTCTCTCTTTTTTTGTTTTGTTTTGTTTTGTAAGGCAGTTGGGGTTAAGTGACTTTCCCAGGGTTACATAGCTAGTTAAGTGTCAAGTGTCTGGTCTGAGACTGGATTTGAACTCAGGTCCTTATATTTTCATCCAAGATTCTCTCAACTCATGCACAGAACATTCAGAAAGATTGTAAAGACATGAAAGTAGGCTTATAGGTTGGTGATTTCTGATGTCTTCTTAGTATTTTTTAAAGCATTTCTGTGTGTTCATTTTCATTAAGTGCCATCCCCTTAAAATAATTTAGATGTCCTATATATAGGGATTTTAACCCTTTTATTTTCAAGTACTCTTGTGCTCTTTTCTGGTGAATTAACTCCTGCAAGGTTCTATTAGGCTCCTAGTTGTTTCCACCTCATTATCTCAAGTGAAATTTGTCTTTGTAGTTCCTCTTTGTTTGCTTCTATTTTAGATTAGAACTCCACCGATCAAAAGCTAGAGTTCTTGCACCTGAAAATGGTTAAATCAAAATTGTCAACATATTTGAGCTGAAGCATCAAGAATGAATTGTAACTTTCCTAAAAATGGACCAAATTAATTATTCTGGGGCATCAGGGGGTTATTTTCCACATTTTCCATTTTGGGGACCATGAAAAAAATGAGAGAGAATATAACGGTATGCTATAGATTTGGAGTTGGGAAACTTAATTTTTTTTTCCAGGATTCTTTTTGCCCTTGAATAAATCATTTCTACTCTCTAGCCTTTAGTTCGCCTTGATTATAGAATGAAGAGTTGGAAGGGATTTTAGACGTCATCTAGTCAAACTTCCTTATTTTGCCTCATTTGAGGCAACCATGGCCTAGAAAGGTGTGGTGATTTGCTCAAGGTCACACAAGTAATAAGTAGCAGAACCACAAGTCCACTGACTCTCAATCCAGTGTGCTCCAAGGTCTCTTCCAGCTCTGACAGTCTATGTTCTAGACTTCTGAGCTATATTCCGCCTCTAAAAGTCTATAATTCTAAATACCTATGATACGATTTCTTTCATGACTTTCTTTCTTTCTGATTTCCCCCAACCTCATTTCTTTTAAGACCATGGCCCTATTTGTGCAATTTGTAAGCACGATGTCAGTAATAGAGGAAAAATTCTCATGTCCATCTTCACATCTGAAATTTTGAGTCTCTATGTGCCTAAAGCCAATATCATAAGGACTCTATATAGGGGGAGCCAGTAACCCTGAGCAAGGGGTGGATAGCCTGATAACAATTTAAAGTAATGCATTTATTTTCCAGGACAAGCCACAGTGACTCCAGCCTTTATACCAGAAGACAGGGTAATAGGTCCTCGGAAATGGTTAGTATGTTCATTTCTTCCTTGCTACAACTTCTTGCCAACTTATCAAGTTCTCTCCTACCCCTCAACCCAAGCTTTGAAAGGCAAAAACTATAGTCAGATATGGAAAGGAGACAACAACCTTGTGGTTAAGGAAAAACCAGTAGGAATCCCAATTGGGGCAAAAAGGAAAATGTAAATAGAGTTAGGAATTAGAAACACTTTCATTATGAAAACATCCAAAAAACCTTTAAACTTCACATCCTAATAGGGCAGGGCAACTACAAGAAGGTTAATTTTACCTTTAGAAATGAATCATTCATTTGCTCATTCAGTAAACACGTCTTAAGCAACTGTCTTATATGATTCTGTAAAGCATGGTACTAGGTGCTGGGTATATACCAAGATGAAAAAGGACTGTTTTTCTTGATGTGTAAATTGTATGACCAGCATAGCACATTCTGAGGCTTCCAGGATAGAGAGAATAGAGCTCTGAACTTGGAGTCTTAGGAAATTACCTAGAGCACAAGAGAGGTTGTGACTTGTCCAGGGTTACACAACCATGTTATGTGTTAGACTAAGTGGGTCTTAAACCTAGGTTTTCCTGACTCTGAAACTACCTCTCTATTCACCAGACCATACAGGCTGTCTACTTAATCCTAACCACATGGGTTGTAGTAAGGATTAGAAAAAATAATGTATGTGCCCCTCACATTTTAGATGCAAATACATACATACATACATACATACATACATACATAATTATTTAATTGAACTGAATTGAAAGAGCTTTGCAAAACACTAAGTATATATGTTATTATTGTTGCTATACAATTATTAAAGATCTGTACTGGTTGGTATTTATATTTTTTTCTACTTTGGAATACAGTAGAGGATTTAGATTATATTACTTTGATGTCAGGTCTAAGAACAAAAAATGTGTTTATATATGTGTTATATATGTATATATTACATTATATACAACATGTGTGTATATAATATAAATATGTGTATGTATATGTATAGATATAGTTATCTGTCTATACATATATACACATGCACATACATGCTTAGAGAATCCTGGAAAATTCAATTTCCATGAAAAATTTCATGGATTTCTCTCATTCCAGTATTTTATCCTTACTAGTTGTTTTTTGGTTTGTGCATTTAATGGTAGGATCATGTCAGCCATGGCCGTTTGAGATCTGACATTGAAGAAAGAAGAAATCGGTTACTAATCAGGTAGGTGATTTTTAAAAATTGAAAAACAATGACCCATGATCACATCTAAACAAAATTATCTTGATGACAGTTCTATGTCATCATAGGATGGTAAGTGTGGTGCATTGGAAAGAATTCCTGTGTTTGCATTTCAACTCTTGTTTCTCACTGTGACCTCAGACAAAAGTCAGTCCAAGTCTCTGAGTTTCTATTTTCAAAGGTGTTAAAAGAGTAGTACTTCTGCTTCTCTTATTAGGGTAATTAAGAGGAACATTTGTAAAAATGTAGAACACTAAAGAAATGTCAATTATTATAATAGAATATTATTAATAATGATTATGTCCCCATAATTTTTAAATTGATTATGTTAAGAAAATATAGCCAATGAGATTTTTATAAATTCAATACAAATGGGAAGAAAAGGTGGCAAATAAAATTGGGAGAAGGGGAATGATGGCTATTTCAGTTACAAACCTGGTTCACTTTCACCGTTGGGGGGTCAGGTTGGGGTGGGGCAAGAGGATGTTAAAAGCCTGCATGGACATTTAGAGTGGTGGCATAAACTCACTATGGGAAGCAGACCCAATATGTAAGACAGAGGAGAAGTAGCAAAACTAATTCCAGAATTCTCTTCCTGTCCTGATGATCCTAGTACTACCTGACAATTGAGTTAATGTTTTAGATCACCACTGTAGGTACCATACTAAGAAACTCCTTGAGCTGATTTTACAGATCTAGGAAATCAAAGCAAACATGAAGAGAAGATGCAAAAGTACAAGGTGATCTATGAAATTATTCACTGTTGAAGAATTAGCTACCGTAAGGCTAATTTTTCAAGAATGGTGCTTGGCTAAGTTGTTATAAAAAGTTGATGGATTACTATTCCAGAAAAATCACTTGATGCCTTCTTAGAATGTAGGGAAACAAAGCCTCTCAAAGCCTGGCATGCTAAGGATCTGAACCTTTCCCCAATCTCAAAGTCATTGACCTATGTCATTTTTAGCCATTGATTTGAACCTACTTGGGAGGAATGAGAAGGTGCATGGTATAGTGAAAAGAGGAATATATTTGAAGTAGGAAGGTCTAGGGCCAAATCTTTTAACATCCCACCTCTGTACCTGTTACAGCATTTATTTATAAGATGATAGAGTTGGACCTTCCCATAGGTTCCAGTGATCCCTTCAAATACTCTGATTCTTGAGCTGAAGCTGCTTGTATTTTGACAGAGACACTGTGTTGTTCAATTATGCCTAAATTTCCTTGAAATCCCTTCAGTGATGTCTAACCAGGGTCATGACTATATGGGGACTCTTGGGAAATACTGCCCCATTTGGTGACCCCCTAGGTCCCAGCTGAAAGTGTGCCTCTTCCCTCCCACTACCAATTCTTACCAAGTGGTAAGGGAAGACACTAAATCCTCTGAGAACACAGCCGTCTTGATGCTGCTCTGGCAATCATAGATCCGCAGCATCCACTGGCATCCTCTAACTGATGCTTAGGAACTCTGTCTTGTGCAGAATCTGTGAAGGGGAGAAAAAAGACAAATGTCTAGAATCCTTCACTCTTCTTGAGCCCATTCTCCCATTACTGGCTGGGCTATCAGTCAGACTTAGCAAAACTCACTATGCAATTTTTCTTTCTATAAAATGGATAAAAAGCATAGTTGGCATGTTTATCACATTTGTGGTTGATATATTGCTAGGGAGTGTAACTGGCACATTAGGTAACAAAACTAGGATTCAGAAAGTTCCTGAAAGATTGAAATGAGGGGCTGAACTGAATAACGTGAAATTAATAAGAACAAATACAAAGCCCAGTGCTTGGATTTTTTAAAAGAGCAACAGCATAAGTATAGGGTGGAAGAGACCTAGCTAAATAATAGCTCATAAATAATAGCTCAAAAAGTTCTGGTCGATTGACTGCAATCACAAATGAATCAGGAGTGTGACTTTTTGGGGCAGAGGATAAGGGAGCCAAATTAGATCTGTGAGTTCTTCAGTGTGGTGGAACTCCCAGTATAGATACTGCTTTCACTAACTGAGTAAAACAGTTCATCTGTAACTTAAAATCTTATAGAGTTGCTTGAGATATCTGGACATTATATGACTGGCCCACGGTCATACAACTTCAATGTGTCAAAGGTAGGATTTAAACCTAAGTCTGTCTTCTTGACTCCAAGGTAGGTCCTTTTTCTGCCACACTACAATGGATGACTATTTATCAGAAGTGTTATAGAGAGGATTCCTATCCAGGTGCTGGTGGGACTAAATGAATTCTGTAGTCCCTTTAAAAATAGTAATGTGTGTCAAATAGCTACCTTAAGATATAGGCTATGACACAATAGATACTCCCCCCAAAGAACCCCACAAATTAGTTTGATCTTTTGCTTTCATCAAGGCATAGAGTCCAGAATGAGACAGGTGATAATCCATTGTCTTCTACACTGGTCAGGCCCTATTTGAAGTATTATGGACAGCTATCCATGATACATTTTAGGAACAAGATTGATAAACTGAAGTGTGGCTGAAGGAGGTCAAACCAAGATAGTGAAGGCCCCAAGATCTTCACATCTGAGAATCAGTTGAAGGAAATGGGAAAATTTAGCCTTGAAAATAGAAGACCTGTGAGATACATGATAATTGTCTTCAAGTCTGTGAAGGGCTATCAAGTGTAAGAGGGATTAAACTCATTGTGCTTGGCCCCGGAAAACAAAATAAGAAGCATTAGGTGGATATTAGAGAGGGAAAGGTAGGGCTCAATATGAGGAAAAAACTGCCTAACGGACTCTTGAGTAAAGTATTGAGTTCACCATTATTGGAGGTCTACAAGTAGAGACTAGACGACTACTTGTCATAGACATTGTGGAAGGGATATCTATGCAGATACAAGTGGTACTAGATGGCCCCTAAAGATGCTTTCCCCTCTGAAACTTAGTTATTATGTGAAATGTTGAACTTGTGAAAATAGAAATGTTGTTGTAACCTACTCTTTTGCCTCAAGTGAATGAGCAAATACTGCTTTGGGCTTTGAGAAAAAAAAAAGTACCACAAAACTAGAATCTTCGGGGGTCCTAAATACAGCCCCTTTGGGTTTCTGCATGTGTATCACCTATTTTGTGGATTGTTTGTGGTTGGTATTTCAGTCTTCATTTGCCTCTATTCTGCCATGCAGAAGACTTCTTGACTCCCAGTCCCCGCAAGAAAGCAAACTAACCTTAATACCAGTTAAGGCAAGTGCCATCAGACAAATCTTCTGAAAGTCAAATTGCAGAATGTACTCCCCCTGAAAAGAAAAAATAGAAATGAATTGTTTGGAATGCCCATTATTTCTAAATAAACCATTTTTGCAGATGATTAAGAATGTTACTCTCTGCCAATGGATAATTGAGAAATTAGTATAGTCAGTTATCTTTGTTACAAATGTGATTTAATCCAAATAGTGATAAAAAGAATTTCAAATGGGAGGGTAAGCTACTAAATTACTATTAGTAGGCTGACCCATAGGTAGTGAAATTCCTATCAGTGGAAGTGTCCAAATGCGGGCAGGCTGACAACTTGTTGGGGTTATGCGAGAGAGAAGGCATGCATTAGAAGGAGGCTTGGTTATAAGATAGAATAATAGTATCTCAGTGGTCTAAGAGACCTCAAAGATCATCTGGTGCAGTGGTTCTCAAAGTATCATCTGGAGACCCCCAGGGGTCAAAACTATTTTCATGATGATACTAAGGCATTTTAGTTTTATTTTAATTATGGTAAAATCTATAATATAACCTACATAAACAAAAGCTCTGTGGTGTCCTCATTAATTTTGAAGAGAATAAAGAAGTTCTAATACCAAAAAGTTTGAGAACGGCTGAATTAGTACAACCTGTACCTCTGTAGGATCTTTCTCTACAGTATTCCCAAGAATCAATTATCCAACCTCTGCACAAACACTTCCAGTGAAGGGGAACTCATTACCTTACAAGGTAATCCCTTCCATTTTGGGGCAGTTCTGTTTGTTAGAAAGCTTTTCTTTCTATGAAGCAAATAAAGACATCAGGACTTGTCTCTGGGTTAACACTGTCCTCTCCTTCTGCTGCTTGATTCATGCCTAGAGATGTCTGTTTCAGCCCATTCACTATTTCATCTCTTAGGTCCCTTTCAACTTTGTGATTTTGTGACTCAAGATTCTTTGGTTTTGAGCTTCTGGGAAAGCCTTAATTTTCCATTGGGGCCATCAGATTGGGATACTATCCTGTGTTTATCCCGTGTCCTTGGCCCTGACTCCTGACTGAGAGCCACACTGCTATATCTGCTTATCCAATATCACCTTGTCATGATCTCTGTCTTTCTTTTCTAGGAAAGTGAGCAGCTTCGGAGAGGCCATGCTGCAAGGACATCCTGGTGCACACTCCGACTCACTTGTACATTTTGCACAACAACAAGACTTGGTGTACTTCATCCTCTTCCTCTGGTTGCTGGTTTACTGCCTCTTGCTCTTCCCGCAGCTTGATATAAAAAAACTTTGATTTGTGTGTTTCAATAATAAAGAACAGAGACCTAATTGTATTTTTTAAAATATTGGGTTGGTGAGAAAGGATCACGGTGTGGACAGATCAATGATTTGAGGTGAAACATAAACTTAACTCTGACCCGTTCAAGGACAAAGGGTATCTTTATTCCTCGGTACTAAAGCCATATGGCATGCTTCCTACCTTCACAGAGTATATGTATGGAAGATAGGTAAATTAATTACCAGAAACAATTCTGAGTCTAGGTCTTGCTTTATTATATATTCAATCCTTCAAAAGACCCTTGATGCCATCACTGTACCCCAACACGGGCTGTAGTTCCTCCAAATCTTAGTAGAGAAATTTCATTACGTTGTGTGGCTAAAAACAATCAGGTAGCAGCCATCTTTCTGGTGACAGCCTTACCTCATTTAACGAGGCCAGTCGTGAGACAGGAGACACCCAGGCCGTGCCTAGACTTGTACTTAAAGTCTTTCTATCTGGTTAGGACCTGCCAAAGCTTGCATTCCATTGGCATAGGCTTGGAAAGCTCCCATGCTATGAAGAGGCTGTCGTATTTTTAATGCATTTAACAAGTATGGGCAGGAATCTGAATTTAGAGCTAGAGGTTTCAATTGCCCTGGTTTAACTGGGGTCATTTACCTGGCCAATGAAGGCTGCACTTGACACGAGCAGAGTTGCTCACAAAAATTTACAAATATGGTTTGTTTATGGTTCTAGATTCTGAATCAAATGCCAGATTTTAACTGTTGAAAGAAAATGTTGCATTCCCTCCAAGATCAAATAGGTACCCCAGGGATCTGGCTTCTGGGCATCTGTGGGAGAATTTCTTTATTATATTGAGTGAGAGGATTTGATCTTACAAAGCCAAGCTCTCAGAAGGGGAGGGCAGGCACGGGTCATGGAAAGAGTATTGGACTTCAAGTCCCAATGTCAGCCCTGTTATTTACTAGCCATGTTACCTTGTACACAGTAGTTAAGCTCCCTTCACTGCAATTTCATGATCTGTAATGTTGACATAATGATTCATTGCACTGCCTATATCACAGAAGTATTGTGAGGAAATTGGTTTGTGAACCTATGAATGCTATTATAGAAATGTGAGCTATGATTATCTTCAGCAAATCAGAAATGGCACAACTCAGGTCTAGAAGAGATGACATTAAAGTTTTACCACAGGCAGAACTATGCAAGAGATTTTGTTGAGGAAAAGCCCAGCATTTTAATAATAATAATAGTCAACATTATGTAGTACTTTAATGTTTACAAAGCACTTTACATACATTGTCTCATTTTATCCTTACAGCAACTCTGGGAAATAGGGGGTATCAGCCCCCACTTTATAGATGAGCAAACTAAGCCTCAGAGAAGTTAAGTGACTTGCCCGGGGTAATACAATTAGTAAGTATCTGAGACAGGAATTGAATTCAGGTCTTTCTGACTCCCAAATCCACAACTCTAATCCCTATACCACCAGCTGCCTTAATTGTTTAAATGGGGCTGCTTAGAGGACAGAAGGTTATATAAAGGCACAAAGGACTAGAAATGAAACTCTTGTAATTTGGGTTAGTCCATAGAGGATAAACTTTGGACAGACTTTAAAATACAGACCTTTTGCTTTGTCCTTCAAAAAGTTTCTACAGGAAGGAAGTCGTAGAATAATGTAGCCCTTGTGCTATTATAATATAGCACAATTAGGACTCTCACAAATCTCCCTTTGGAACTGGTTCTTTTATATACACTGGGGGTAGTACTTGTGCGATATACCTCACAAAGTGGTTGTGATGAAAAGGATTTGCCAGTAAGGCACTATAGAAATGTGAGCAATGGTTAGTGTTAGCAAATTAGTAGTGATGTGGTCATCAATAGTTATATATGGATTGTGTAACTTTTTTTCATCCACAGAGAGCACTTCTTAAGCAGCATTAATCTTGGCTCAGTAGGATTAAAGAGGGAAAGAAACAGTGAAAACCAATCTACACACATTTATTAAGTGCTTACTATGTTCTAGGCACTGTGGTAAGTGCTAGGGTACAAAGAAAGCCCCCACTCAAAAAACGAAAAAACAACTACTCCATGTCAGGTAGGGGCTTGAGCATCTGGAGAGACCAGCAAAAGCCTCCTACTGAAGGAGATGCTTCAGCTGAGTTGTGTAACAAACCAGGGATTCTAACAAGCAGAGGTGAGACGGGAGAGCATTGCAGGCATGGATGACAGCCTGGAACAAAGAAACAAAGATGGTAGAAGGAGTATTATGTGCAGATAGGCCAGTATGATCATATAGTGTGTGGAGGGGAGTAAAGTGTAAGAAGATTTTTGAAAATGTAGGAAGGGCCCAGGCTGCTGCCTTTATAGCTGTTCTTACAGGTAGTAGGGAGCCTCTAGAGTTTACTGAAGGGATGGTGGTTGGTATAGACCGAGCTTGGCTTTAGAAAAAATCACTTTGGCATTGTAAGGAGGATGTCCTGGAGTTGGGAAAGACTTGTGATGGGAAGATCAATTAAAAAGTGATTGCAGTATTTCAGGTGAGAGGTGATAAGGACCTGTACCAGTGTGGTGGTTGTGTTAGTGAAGAGAACAGGATATATACAAGAGATATTGTAAAGGTAGAAATGACAACATTTGGCAACGGAGTGGACGTATGAGGTATGTGAGGAGTTGGGACTGACACCAAGGTTGTGAACTTTGCTGATTGGGAGGAAGATGGTACCTTTAGCAGTAGGGCCCACCCTCAGAAAGCATGAGAGAGCAAAAGAAGCATTGGAGTGAGACCCAAGAAACCTGGGTAATAACCCTAGCTTTACTAACTTGGGCAAATGACTTCCTCCCTTTGGGACCTCATTTCCTGTTGTTATACAATTAGATCATCTCCAAGGTCCCTCTCAGCTCTAAAAACTTTGTGACATTTCTTCCTAATTATCAGATTATGAATAAGAAAACCAGGGTTAAAATCTCAATCTCTGTTCCTTACTTAACCAATTTGACTTAGAGTAAGTCATTTAATTGGTCTGGGCCTCAGTTTCCTCATCTGTAAAATAAGGAGACTGGACTAATGATTCCTATGGTTCCTTCCAACTTTAAATCCCATGAAGTTAATCCCCAAACATTATTTTTGGGCATAGTTCTGTTCTGAATATGTCCTACAATCCAAATATCTGTACATTGAATTAACCATGATACTCAGAATGTCAGAATTTCTGACAGAAACATAATCATCTTTTCATTTCAGTCTTCACTATTGAAAACTCTTATATAACTTCCTGACTAATAATAATTAAAATACTGAATTCATTGTTTCTTTGATGAATGAGCATAATACAGAGCCTCAGAAGCATCACTCTGGTCATGCTCACTGGCAAGGACTGGAGATGAAGATGGGCAAATGGTTAAAAATAACTGGTGAAGTTGAACTCACCTAAGGAGTAGTTTCCTAACAATTAAAGCTGTCCAACAACAGAATAGATTGCCTTGGAAGATAGGTAGTAAGCTTCCCATCATTAGAGATCTTCAAGTAGCTATTATTACTATTTTCTTGTACAAAGCCTCATGGAAGTGAGTTATAATTGCTGTCTGGAAAAAAAAATGCCTGTGCCCTTTTATTTCTATTTTAGCTGCATTCAGCTAGTGCAAAACAAATTCCATTACAAGTAACATTATAAGAAGTATCTCTATGTAACTAAAAATTCCCAAGCCTAAACCAATGGTTTTTTTCTTTGAAAGCAATCTTTTTCAAAATAATGACATGGCAGTACACCTATAGAATTTAGATAAGCCTTAAAAATCCTTTGCAACAAAAAAGCCTTTCTCACACGGAGCCATGCTGCTTCATAACCCAAGGATCTCACATAAATGCAATTCTTACTGAACTTGCTGGCATCATTAAAAACACTTGCAGAGATCATGTAGCCTAATTCAATTTATAAATAAATAGGAAGAAACCAAGAGAGGGGAAGTAACTTGGCCAAGGTCAGTTAGGGTCAGAACCTGAACTATCTCTTCTGCCTCCTAGTCCAGTGTTCCCTCAATTAATGCAGGGAGGTTTTCAAGAAATAGCATCACAGGATTTTGAATGGAATGAATGAGCATTTATTACACATTTACTATACGCCAGCCACCAAAGATATAAATGCAAAACCAAAGACAATCCCTTCCCTTAAGAAGCTTATATTTTCAAAGGAGAAATAACACACATAAAGAAGCGGTAGCCAGAGAGAAAATTTAGGGGATGGTGATTGGGGTTACAGGGAATCAGATTGATGCATATTATCAAAGAATAATAGCATCGTTTTCAAACTGGAAGAGGTGAGTGAGGAAGGGGAAGGAAAGATTACGTACTTGGTGGTGAGGAGGATGGTGAAGAGGCTTTGGAATAAGTGGCCAGAGAGGAGAGAAAGCAAGAAGAGACTTCAGCAATTATCTAAATTGGTGAACATTTAAAAATCGTTAGTATGTGAGATCTTAAAGGAAATTTAGAGCTCAATTAGTCATAGAATTTAGAGTCTGAAAGAGCTTTAAATATGATAAAATCTTAAGAGACGGAAGGAACCCAAGAGATCCAACCCATGCATGGCCAAGAATCACATCAATCACCAAAGCTCTGTTTAAAGACCTCCGGGGATAGGGAATTCACTACCCCCCCACCACCCGGCAACCAATCCTCCTTTTAGATAGTTTCCATTGTTAGGAACTTTTTTTTTTTAACATTAAGTTTAATCTCCCCTCTGAAACTTCTACCCATTGCTTTTGCTTGCTCCTGCTAGGGCGAAGCAGAACAAATCCGGTCCCTTTTTCACATGACTGCTCTTCAATACCTAAAGAAAGCATTTGAATATTTCCTCAGTCTTCTCCATGCTGCACATCAGCAGTTCTTCCATCCGGTTCAACGAGAGGTTTTCTAGTTGTCCCAGCTGTCGTCCTCTAGACCAGGGGTGGGGAACCTGTGGCCTTCTGGGTCCTTGGGTGTGGCCTTTCGACTTTTTTTTGACAAGTTTTACAGAACAATCTTCTATGAAGGGGCTTTGCTCTGTGAAGTTTGGA